TGCAAAAATGAAATCAGCGTTTTGAAAGTAATTATTGAAAGGTAAAGCAGTTAGTAATTCACAGAAATTGGCCAATTCAGAAAAAAATGTGTAGGAAATAACGTTCATTTATTGAAATGCACAACAAAAATGGTCAAATTAAATTCCTACCAGTTCATCAAGACAAGGGAAGAGGCTAACATTCCCTATCAGTTAATTAAACCGGTTAAAGTAATATCAACTGAAAGAAAAAGAGTGTAAGCCTTGCCATTTCTCCAGGTATCCTGAGAAGCAAAACCTTACATTCTAGTCTGGTTGTATTTGCAGTGTATCAGACAGGGAAAGCAACATTTACATCTTTCAGACAACTGAGTATCTCAGGAAAAAGCTGAAGCTACTCCACATGACAGCCACTATCAAGTGTATTATGAACTTAATTTTCAAGCCACCAGATACCTTTGTAACGTGAAATTACAAGCAAGGACTCTAGAACAGCAACATAAACAACTTAACACAGAAACTGTGTTCATTACCTCTGTAGGTAGTCCTTCACACAGATCATAATTGAAGCATACTGTACAATAATGAGATAATTCTTCAGTCTGAACTGCAAGTGCTCTTATTCCTTCTCTATGCTTCTTTGAAACAAAATTTTTTTTTTTAGTAATTACACCTGAATTTCTATACAGTACCTCAAACTGCTTTTGCTGATCAAGTGCTGTAGTAACTATACCTTTAATAACAAATCCCTCAAATTATAAAGGATGTGAACGTTACGCATAGGCACTAACTTCTAGTACAAGCACATCCCTTTTAATCAACATTTAAGTATTAAAGTAGACATTTTCTTATTCAAGAATATCTACAATTAGTTCATTCCATTTTTAATTTTTTCTTTTTTTTTTTTTTTTTTTTGTAGTGGCAAATTATATGTTTTATCAGTCTGAATGCATTCTTCCGATCTGCACCTTAATGGCTAGGTATAAATTTCTTACTTCAGAACTCTACCTGCTGCCTGACTAGTGGTTTCTGTTATGAGCTTCCTAAGAACATGTATTTATCTACAATTTTAACATGCATTTTAAGTTACAAAGGTTCCGATAACCTCTGTAATAGCACAGACACTGAGAACTGGTCACGTCAGACTAAAAAAAAAAAAAAAACAAAACAAAAACAAATGGATAAAAAGCACAAGATATGTTCATCTGCCAAGTTTCCACCTCACTGTACAGTATCTTCCCAACACTTGCGCTCATTAAGATGTTGGTTTGCAGTGCCCACAACTAACTTACAGAACAAGCACAAAGTCAAGAGGTAACCAACAGAGGTCTGTATGTACAGCACGTGCAACATATGCAGTTGTCTCAGCTTTTCCCTAATATGAAGTGACTAATTCAACACATACATGTGCATATGCATTTAGCAGACTCCTCATCTAAACCAGCAGTACTTTTCTGAAGGTTCTCACCTGTAGGAGCAAGGGTCAGAGAAAGTGTATAAACAAGGTGCCAGAAACAGCTTATTTCTAAAACATTAGACAGTCCAGGTGTTACCCGATCAAACTAGTTGCTGTGCCTACAATTTGTTTTCACCAGCGCTTCCACTGCTAGAAATAACTACTAACAGGGATATTTTAGAAAAAATAAACACTAGCATAAGCAGTTTCTGAACACATCTCTGCAGATAACTAAGTATTATGCAGTTATGCAGCTGCCTTCCTTACCTGAGCACTACTCAACATTTTAGATGTTAGCTTAAATCTTAAAATATCCTTGAAAATGTGCTGCTTATGAGAAATTGAATGTTAAGTCTATCATGTATTACTACATGCTCAAGAGCAGAAATTACTATTGACTGATACCAGAAGAAACTCTTTCTCAAGAAAGAATGCTCCAACAAAGTGAAAGCTGGACCACTAGAGAATGAATTTTGTTGTACAAATACATTAGAACACCCTAGGATACCCACAGCCCTCAAAGTAAATTGTTGCAAATTGTAGGAAGACTTACACTGACATGACTTGAAGATGATGTCATTCTTTCCGTACTTTCTCTACTGAAAAAAAATACAAAATAAGCTTAGCCATTTGTGTGCTACTTATTCAGAGGGAAGCAGGACCATAGCAATAGGTACTAAGCGAGAACAAGAAAATAACTTTTGAGCAAGCTAGCACAAAGAAACCTCATTCATCAAATGGTCTGGGTTGGAAAGGACCTTTTCAAGAGCACCTAGTCCAAACTCCCGGGCAGGGGCAGGAACACCTTTCACTAGATCAAGTTGCTCAAAGCCCCATCCAACCTGACCTAGAATACTTTCAATGGTGGAATGCCCACAACTTCTCTGGGCTACTTGTTCCAGTGTCTCACCACCCCCACCATAAAAAAGGTCTTCCTTATATCCAACCTGTATCCACCCTCTTTCAGTTTAAAACCATTTCCCCTTGTGCTGTCATTACAGGCCTTGGTAAAAAAGTCACTGACAGACACAACACAAGAGAGATATATGCTTGGGCAAGGCTCTGGATTGGCAGCACGAACAGAGCTGTTACTGAGATTTCCACTAGAATTTATCTTTAGTGAAGGCATTTACTGCTTAACTCCACCCACTAGCAAGTAAACAACTAATAAGCAACTCAAGCTTTTATTAAAAAGTGAAAAGGAGTCATAGAAAACATCTGTAACACTAGAGGAGCTCCAATAATAAATAAAATTCAAGGATTCCTGTTAACAGATAAACTTTTTCCTCAGGGGATGGACACAGCTTCAGAGCTTTGAGCATTTATAGGGGTTTAATGCTTTTTATAAATACTCTGACAACTCTGGTGTAAGACCTTCAAGCGTTACAACTAATCTGAAGTCTCTCAACAAGACCTTCAAGTCTGTGTAATTTCACTTAGCTCAGCGGTTTTTTAAGTTACAGCCTCAGTCCCCTGGTGGGAGGGGGGGGGGGGGGGGGGGGGGGGGGGGACACGGGGCAGTAACATCCAAGGACTATTAAAGTAAAACCAAACTCCTGCCTACCCCGACGCCCGCAAAGAGGACAAGCTGACAAACGGCGGCCTTCTGACAGCTCCGAGGGAAAACAGAGGCACCACCCGGGCTGCTGCCACCGCTTGAGCCCGCTTCCGCCAGGCCGGTGGCCGCCCCGCTCCCCCAATTCCCCGCGGGCCGGGCCGGGCCGGGCCGCCTCGCCCCCCCAGCTCCTCATCCAGCCACCGGCTTCTCCCACTACCCAAGGGACAAGCGCCCGCGGTCAGTAAATCCGCGCTCCCACACTCACAAGGCAGCCGCCACCCCCCGCGCCCGGCCGTTCACCGCCCTCCCCTACCGGCTTCGCCCGCTCGCGACAAACGCCACAGCCAGCGGCGGACTCACGGGGACGCGGCCAGCCCCCTTTATCTCAGCATCTCCCTCCCCTCCGGCGGCTAAAGGGCGCAAGACGAGCGGTAGCAACAACAGAAACCCCCCAGCTCCGCCGCCGCTGCTATTGTTGTTTATCCAGGCCCTGCCGCTGCCTGCGCAGCTTCCTCCCGTACTTCCGGTCAGGGCCGCCCCGCCCCGCCCCGTAACGGCTGTCACCGCCTCCCTATCCCCTCAGCCCCGCCGCCTGCCCTCCCGCTCCCCGGCCGCGATCCTGCCGGCCCCCCAAACCGGCCTCGTCCCCGGCCCCTCCTGCCCACCTCGCCCTCACAGCCGCGCCCCGCCGCAGCCTCTCTTCTTAAATTTCTCCCGGGTTTCGCCCAACACTGAGCACCCGCGGGGAAAAATGAGGCGGGGCAAACGATCGTGTCACAGGTGTGCTGCTGCGCACGCTTCCCTGCGCCTGGCAAACTGATGAGTAGTAACAAAACTAGGAGTGGTGTGAGCGCAGCGCAAGAGAGTTAAAGGAAGCACAGGCTAGCAAGCGTTAAGCAACCGGGAGAAGTCCTAAAACTTGCGGAAGGCGTCGAGGAAAGCTCGGTTATTTTTGAAGAGGCGGTACACAACCCAGCCGAAGCGGGTGTCCGTGGTACCGCCTTGCTAATCACGTTTCTCCCGTTAGACCTCAGCCCGCATGCCCGCCAGGTGCCGGCGGGCGGGTTAGCCCCGCACCCCCCGCGCCGCCGGGCGCCCTCATCCGCGGCCTGCGGCGCCCTCAAAAGCCCCGCGGCCTGCGGCGGCTGCTCCTGGAAATTCTCCCACAGCCGCGGCGAGACAGAGATTTGTTTGTTGGGTTTCTGTGCTTTGTTTTTCATTTATTTCCTTTTTTTTCTTCAGGGTAGCTTCAGAAAAGTAGGGTTTGGGCGTAACTTTCTGTTTTGTCCTCTTGGTAGTGCCTTTATATCAAGTAGTGGGAAGCTGTATAAAACTAGTTTTGATTCCTTCTTAGGTTCGTACTCAGGAGGTTTGACTTTAACTTATGGTCAGGTGTAAACTTCAAACGTGAGATGTTAGCTTGTAACTTGTGTGAGAAACAAGCCCACGTATATATAAAAAAAAGTTTTATTGGGGACAAAGTCAGTGGAGCAAAGAATACAGCGCTGGGCGCAATGGCGCGCGCTGGAGCCAAAAGGGGCTCCCTTTTGTTGTATAAATGGTTACATATTCATCTACTCTAATACATATGCATCACTACTTCTAAGGATAGGGAGGGAATATTACAATTAGTTCCGAGAAATCATTAACATATCCCCCCAACCCAAATTCCTCCCGTCGCGCTTGCGCAGTGCTCCCTGGTGGCCGTGGGCAGGGGTCTGCAGATGAAGGCTCGTAGTCTTCTTCACTGTGTTCGCTCGTTGACCCTTATTTCTGCGCAGACTCAGTCCTGTGGTCACGTACACCTTGTCCTTCAAGTCTGGGCTAATTTGTAGCTCTTTTGTCTTTATGGCTCAGTGGCTCCGGTTCCTCTCTTATCTCAAGAACAGGAGATAACAGAGAGGGCCCATCATGTTCTTTCCCATTCCATTGCAAAGGAGTTACCATCCTTTGATATGGACCATCTGGTGAGCATTCCAAAGGAAAAAGGGGGGGCTGTTGGGTTGGTGTTTCCTCTGATCAATCCCCCCTCTCTTCTCTTTTCCCACTAGTAAATTATTTTACTTTTCTTAAAATTTGTATCATCGTACTAATAACAGCTTCAGCCTAATTCAATAAAAGTAATTGTTTAATTACTTTTAGCGAAAGCAAAATTCTTCTATTATTTATCACACTTGGAACTATCTGAAAAGCCTTAGATGGCCTTAACTATCAGCAACTGATACACCTCAGAATAAGGCACAGGAAGTAACGAAACCTGAACTAAAATGGGTTTATTTTATTTCATGCAGAGAAGTTGTCTACCATCCCGGAGTGAAAAAGATTTACGTCTATGATGACAGATTTCACAGGAGAGCATAAGGTAATGTTGGGCTTTACTAGAATAGAGGAAACTGTTTGTAAATACAAAAATTCTAATAAAGAGTAATATTTTTACTGCAGTAGTGTTTCAAATAAGCCAACCGTTGCAAGAAATGCTAGCTGAATTTACAGCTGAAGAATCTTACAATCCAAACAGAAAAGTGGGAGGAGGGGAAAGAGGGATTTTTTTTCTCCCCAACAGTAATTTCTTAATATCAAAATAGCAAATATAAGGGCTGCCAGAATAAACACTCTTGAATAATGCATTTATATATATATATATATATATATATACAATGAAGCACAAGCAGCAGTCAACACTGATTTAGTGTGTACATTTTCCAAAAAGGAGTAAATGTATTATGCAGATATATCTAGAACAATCTGTAGCTGCAGCTTCTTAATTCTATAAATGGCATTACAATAAAACCAGTCCTCCAGACTAATAAGTACATTATTGTAAGGTGCTATTCAAGTGAACTCTTAAGTGATAACCTACTGTAAATTGCTTCGAAACTTTTCAGTTCCCACCTTGAAGGCAATTTTTGGAAGGGAGGTCGTACCTGTGCCTGATGTAATACAATTTTTTTTTGTTTCTGCTTCCTGCAATCTTCAGAAGCCTTTCTTAATGCTTTGTAAAGTAGATGTTTAAGTAGATGTTCAATATTACATACATAGGATTTAATTTGGAATCACATATCTTTGTTCTGTTTTGAAACTGAAAAAGCAATGTTGTTGGTAGTAGCTGAAGTGAGAGCATAGTAACTTACTGTTCATAGTATGCTGGGAAACTAGTCTTCAACCTTTTAGGGGTGAGGAGAGAAAGGGACTGAAAGAAGTGCTGCACAGCGTGCCACTCTGTAAGGAAACTGCATTTACCTATTCCTAATTGTCATGGAATGATTCCTCTGTGCTTACCTTTCTCCACAGACATCTTTCCTTAAACCATACCCGGTTTTCTCCCACTTCATTTTGTGGGGAAAACAATGTGAATATGGGTCATTTCCTCCCTATTAAATATGATCTCTCTTGTGTGAATTGCCCGTATTTCAGTAGTAAATGGACTGTCCTCCCGTCTCCTTTGTGTATTTCAAGCCTTCCTTCAGAATGAAAAAATCATAAATGAATACATTCGCTTGTAACTTCTTTATGCTGTTTCCATTCCAAGAAACTGGCAAGTCAGTAAATCGTTTTTCTATGATAGAATCTGATGGTTTTTTCCCTTTTCTATGTGTATGCTATTGTATGAGAAAAAAGAAGGTACCATTTCCTAGCCTACTCTCTGTTAATCAGAAGACAGGAATGACGCTGAGGAGATGACTTAACATCTCTGATTCAATAAGGATCGCTCAAAAGGAAAACGTATATGGTGTTTCTCTATTAAAAAGCAAAGAACTTTTTTTTGTTTTCTTCAATTTGGAAGTGTAAGAAATAATTTTCAATATGCTAAATGGCTTATTCAAGGAAACTTGCATTCCCTTAAGGAGATGGACTTCAACTCACGTCACTTCCATGAAAATTTTCAGATCATTTTGTGTCCTAGTAATTGGCTTTATCAGATGGTATAGTGAGTTTTAGCATAGCCAGAATGTAATTTACTGTGTTCTAAAAACCTCTGTTAGTTCAGCAAGAAAAACTTACAATAGCTTGGACCAATATATTTGCCAAATATAACTTCATGTTAACCATCTGCCAAAACAAAATTATTATGTTAAGATAATAAATTCATTTTTTAAATACTAGTAATTGTGGAAATTTAATGCTTGCAAATCTCTGCTTTTAGGACAAAATTCCTACAAAAGTAGGATTATAATCACACCAAAGGTTACCCCATGTTTACCATTCTACAGCCAGTGACAGTAGTAGATTGAATAGTTACTACGAAAATAGGTTACGATAAGCTTAATTTTTCAGTTGCATTGAGACCACTTCCTGGTATAATTCTCACCAGTTGATCAGTCATATGAGTTGAAAAATTATCTTAGCTGAAACTAGAGAACTCAATCTAATATAATGAAAATTTGCTGCGTGTACTTTATTTCATCCTGTCCCTGGATCACAGAGGTTAGCTTATTCTGTCATCCATTCCACAATTTTCATGTGGTAAATGTGTGCAAGGACGAACGAATGACTGGAGAGATTAGTATTAATGTACTGCTGTTGGAATTTAGTAACCGCAATCTGTGAGAGGCTTTACAAGCAGCCGGTTTGCTACAGACCACTGAGAGAGTCTGTATCAACAAGTATTTTCTTTGTCACTTTTAAATCTGAGTTCTAATACAACAGGCTTTATTTATGTAGGTGATGTGAAGGTCTATCCCTACACTGACATAGTCTTCTTACCTTGTAGTGGTTACAAATACAGCAAGAACTAAGCTTGAGGAAACTATTAGAGGGCTCAGAGTATCAAGAGGAACTGAAGTATGACTTCAATATAAAAGGGGAACTGAGGCATCTGGATACAAATGAGTCTTTTGTTTTCAATTATTACAAGAATGCACATGAGCAGAATCATAAACGCTATCAAGTTTTGGGACATTCGATTACCCAATATGTTTATGAGCTCCTGGAAAGAGTCTGCATGCTGCAGAAAGTTTATATTCCTACTGATGCTACAGAGGATGAACCACAAAGTTTCTTTTTCATGAGTGAGAATGCACTAACAAGTTCCTCTAACCTAATTGTCCTTCTTCAAGACAGTGGAGTTTTCCGTGCAGGACAGTGGGAGCAAAGGACGATTGTCAGCGTGGGCCTGGGGCATGGAACACAAATACCATTCATCAAAATGGCCCTTCAAAGCCACGGGGGAGTGATTGTACTGAATCCCAACGACAACTTTCTTGATTTGAAGACTGAAAAGGAGAGGTTAAGCTTTTCTACCTGGGAAGAACCACCGAATTCTACGCAGTCCGTCTGGTGGATCCCCAAGAGGGGCAGCAGCAGTCCTGAGGAGCATACCGTGTATGTATGGGATCATTTCATTTCAAAGAGCACAGCCAAGAACGTGGCCTTCATTGCCCATGGCTACGGTGGCCTGGTGTTTGTTGATCTGCTGGTGCAGAGAAAATGGGAGGTAATGAATAAAGTGTACTCTGTGGCATTCATCGACTCCCTGCACAACATACAGCACCAGACTAGAAACGATCCCCAAATACAAGAATGGATACAGAAGTACTGCTGTGAATGGGTATCAAGCAGCAAGCCTCTAAATAAACCTGTGGGTACTCTCATGAAAGTCAATTGTCCTACTGTCTCTGCTGGAACGGAAAAGTATGGTTTAGCACCCTCCTGCTGCTTATGTGCCATCTTTAAGTACCTGAAGAGCACACTGAAAGCCAAGACCACAACAGCCTTTAGGCGTTCACCTGTTAGAACCAGAAGCAGAACAAGTAGTAAGACAGGCAATAAATAAAGGTATATGGATTTGTTCTTGATAGTGGTCTCTTCCTTTCATAATTAGCTGTGAAAATTGGAGTTGCACAAAATAAAGATGTTAAGGTGTATCAAGTCTCACCTGTATCATTTTTTAAATACACATTCAGCAGTTATGGCTCTATAGTCAGACTAAACTACCAGAAAAATTCTCCCTTCTTATGCGCATAGCTTTAATTGAAAGGACAAATCTGGAACACAAAAAGCATGTAAAAAGATTTATTTCCTCCCCACTGTACACCATATAGTGTTTAAAATCTTTCAAGACCTGGAACATCTAACTTCCTCCGAGATGATGTTTACTTTTAAGTTGAATGATGCTTCAGGGAACTACATACTACCACGTTCCCTCCAGTCAGAGACGGTATGCCCCAAACATGATACAGTGAGCTAAAGCCATTTCCATTTTAAAGCTACCAAAGCCAGTGAGGTTACTGGGCATGAGCTGCTACAGAAATACAATATCCTAGCAACCTGTAACTACCAAACTGATGCAAAAAAATGACCTTGCTGTTTTCTCCCGGCTGTTTGATTTTAGACAGAGGTGGGAAAGAGACAGTTTTTAAATGTCCCTACTCAAGGTTTGCTATTTATATGAGCAGAAGGTCAAATAACCTTTAAAGCAAATGTAAACAAAATCATTATTCTGAATTTCCAGTGTAATCCTGTAGGAATTAAAAGTGCTCAGTGGCTGCAAGATTTTTAAAAGATGACAAAACATTGTCCTATACCTTGAGTTGCCGTATCAGTCAAAAGAAATTGTTGAACAGTAATACTGGGTACCAGAGAAAAGAGAACATCAGCTTCCCTTTTGTGTTTATATCCATTTCAGACATCTCTACTACTCTTTGAAAAAGCTTCCACCATGTTATCCCATAATGGGTGAAAGTATAAAAGTCCATTGGAAAGACACAGTCAGTGGAATGCTCCTGGGAGCATGCATAGCTTTTTAAATAAAGACACATTTACTGTTATTACATCTGAGTGAAAACGGTACTAAATAGACAATTAATAGAGTATAGAGTGCCTTAGTTCACTTAAGAAAGCTACACTGGAGGTGTCATCATTGAGGATGCATACAACCTGACTGTTTTGTAGGTGTTGGTCAGCATGCAACTCAAAGAACAGTCACTTGCATGAATTCTATGCGTGAACGTGCAGCTTTATTTACAAGAGAAGTATGAAGTGACAGAATGTCTGTCTTTGGAAGGAGACCAATATGATCCTTCAACATAAATTCTCAAACTGTCCCACGGCGTCAGAGGTGGCTAAAAATGCTTGAAGAGAAAACAGGATCTAGAACATAAGCCAGTTTTGTAATTCTTTACCTCAGGTCAGACTATTAAATTCCTTGGTAGAGAAGGTCGTATTTAGGAATGTTATTGGGGTCAATAGGACTTCTCACAATGAGCTTTCCACGCATTGCTCCACGGTAAATCACCTCAATCAGATCTATAAAGTCTTGCTTTGTTTTGAAGCTTCCTACAAATTTGGTATGATCTGGAGACCTAAATATAAGCATAAGATAAAGGCAGAATTGTAATGTTAAAGTGTTCAAAGCAAAACCACCTAAAGACAAGAGATGTATAATGACATTAGGGTTTCTGATCTAGTCATTCAGAAAGAATGAACCACACTGGTTATGTCACAAACAAGTCAGGAGTACGCTGTGACCTCCAGAGACCAAAAAGGTACAGTGTCATGTCAAGACTTTAACTGTACTATTTCTTCCAGAGTTAGTCATGTTTCACAGCTGACACCTACTTATTGCATCAGAGCGTATTTCAAAATTCTTCTTAATTTTGCATCCTTCTCACTCCCAACGCAAATGCTGGTAACCACATTATAGTTGTCAAATGTTACCTTCCCCAGACACAGTAACATGAAGAAGGACTGATAATTCTTACAGATATAGATAATGCCAGGTAGGATGACATACCCATAATCAACCTTCATGTGTTGTCCATTGAAGAAAAATACAGTAGATGGAATATAACTGATGTCAAAATACTGGGTGTACACTGGAACCTTGTTCACATCCACCAGGTAAATGACTGCCATTTTACTTAGGTCATGAGCTGTCTTTGCAAGCTGAAAAGAGTGAGAAAAGTGAGTGATAAATGGATTGAGGCACAAGTGGAAAAAGGGTGGCAAGCTTTATAAAGCCCATTTCTGAGGTTTTATCAGTTTAAGCAGAGCTAGAATATCATGTCTTATCTACTACAAGCACTTTGTACACCTGCTGCAATAACATAAACATGTGCTTAAATTTCAAACCACTTTATGACTAGAGTATTACTTAATTTTACATTTAATTGTCACCAAAATTTTCATGAGACAGCATATTAGCCAAAAGCAACATATGACATTCTCTCGTACGCAGCAGGTATACTAACAGAGTTCATTAAAAATATAAATAGATTGTTCTTACAATATCATCGAGCTGCAGACAAACAGCATCGCTATCTCTTCCGAACCGCAGAACCAAAACCTTCTCAGCCACGCTTTTTATTGCCTGATCCACCTCTCTCTTACAAGTCAGTTGGGGCAGCAGCAAACTCATCGTGACAGGGCACGGCTTAAACTAAAATCCCTGTCTGACAGAAAACAAAACAAAACAAAAAACAACAAGCCAACAAACAAAACTGAGTCAAAAGTAAGCGAAATTTCTTCATGCTATTACAAAAAAAAAAAAAAAAAAAAAGAGAGAGAAATCCCCGACCACCACACCGGGCTGACAACCCACCCCTCGGGCTCCAGCGTTCGCCTCACGCCCCAGCTCAGCATGGCGGCGGGCCCGGGCGCTACCTCACGCCCCAGCCGGGGTGGCGGCAGGGCCCCACCGGCAGCCCCCCCTCAGGTCCCGGGGGCTCCCGGCGAGGCCCCGGTGCAGACCGCCCCGCCCCGGGATCACCGTAACCTGCGGTGGGGGGAGAAGAAAGAGAAGGCCGGAACCTTCGCCGTACAGCCGCGGAACCCCAAGGACGGCCAACGAGCAGAGCGCCGCGCCCGGGGGCGCATGCGCAACTCCCTGCGCCGGGGGTGAGCTGGAGATGGCGGAGAGGCCGGCGATGGCGCCGGGCCGTCATTAGTAGTGGCCGCCACCCAAAGGCGTCCCCGCCCGGCCGGGACGAGGCGAGGCGAGGCGAGGCGGAGGCCAGGCGGGCTGGAGCGCGGCCGGAGCTCGGGCAGGTGCGGGCGCAGGCGCTGAATGGGGTGGCTTGTCCCGCCGCCGGGGGTTAACGGGGCGAGAAACACCCCCCCACCACCCCCACCACCACCACGCTCCCCCCGGGCCCGGGGCTGCTGAGGGGCCCCGCCGTGCTCCGCTCCTCGCCCCCCGCGGCGGCTCCCGGTGACGCTGGGAGCGCCCTCTCCCTCCCTGCCGTAGCGGGGTCCCCGGGCGGGCCTGTGGGGCGCAGCGCGGTGCCGGGAGGTGCTGCCTGGCTCGTCGCGCTTCGGTTCGGTCGCGGGGCTGGTTTCAAAGCGGTGGGGGAGCGCGTAGGGCCGCGCTCTCCGTGGGCGCCGCGTGGTACCCTGCCCTGGCGCCCTCCCCACGTGGGGTTTCGGCCCGCGGGTGTGCAGGGCTCGGGCCTGCCCACAGCCGCGTGTGGGCATCCGTGCCGGGGAAGAAAAGCGGGTTATTCAGTCTCTGAAGTATCGGTGAAGGACCTTTCTGTTCCGGGGATTAGTTACAGGGAAGTCATGCTGAAAAAAAAAAGTATCGAAAAAATACTTCCAGTCCTACACGTTTAGGCTATTCAAAGAGATTTAGAGTAATTATTGCAGTAGTGACTTTCAGTCGGTGGACACACTGAAAGGTAACTTGGCTTTTATCAAAAGCTGTCATCGAGTATTCAGATTGTGTCAATCTTCCCTTCAACTACTGACTTAGCTTCATTAATGTAAGTTAACTGAGAAATGGATCCCTTGATCCCAAGCTGGACAACATACTTTTTTTGGTTATTACTTTTGCTAGTATGTTTAACGCTTAATGTAAAATTATCAACACGTCTGTTGTAACACGAATTTTCTTTTAACTTCACGCTTGGGATTTTTTTTGCTCATTTTTTCTTAAAAACAGTAGAAAATGAAAGGTCAGCCAGCAATTTGACCAATTACAGTATTGTAGAATGCATGCCAGTTTCTATAATGTTTCTTAATAATACACAGCTCTTTCTGTGGCTCTTTATCGGGGCAGGTCTATACATAGCCCAAAAATTAGAATTAACTTCTTCTGTATATCAAATTATTTTCAGGTGGTGAGCTACTAGGGAGATTATGAATTTTGCTTTCAAAATCTGGAGCTACTTTTTATGTTTTGGCCAAATCATGTTTTCTCAAACATTGAAACTTCACTGATTTTACTTAAGTAAGTTTGCATGGGACAAGGAAAATATTAAACATTCTTTGGTGGTTTTCTTTCTGCAGGCATTTTACATTTAAATACAAATGTCTATCAAAGTAATGGGAATGTGCGTGTCATGTCCTTAAGTTTATATGCCAACATCAACTTCACAGGTAATTTGGGAAAAAGAGAAAAGACAGTTTTCTATACTCGTTGTTTATTCTTCCAGCTCATCTTTCTAGGAGGCATTGGTGAATCAGGCCTGGAAACTCATTTGGCTGGGATGATAACTACCTGTTTTTCCTTTGTCTGCCTCCTGGTTAGCTGTCCTGAAGATCAGGTCTCTGATTTGGCTTGTAGTACAGCCGTGTGAGCAGCTGTACTGCCAAGGGAGCCAGGAACAAGGGGCTCCCAGGACATAAGAGTGCCGTCAGTGGCAGTAGTGTTGGCTCAGCAAAACTATAACAGTGGTAGTTTCAGTAGTTCCAGTGACCTGCAACATGGAAATGCACAGAAGGGGAAAAACTTCAGTACTGAAGTTTGCAAATAGAGCTTTTCCAACATCTAATAGTAAAAGCAAAAATGTGATCTTCTGTGGTAAAGAGTCGTTGCAGAAAAATATTCCGAGATGAAGTGTCTTGTCCATTTTCCCATTATAGATTAGGTAGGCATCTCCAGATGTGTATAAAAACATTTACAGTGTTCATGCAGCATTTCACTTTGGTTGCAGAGGTTCTTATTTGTCATATGGTACAGATAATTGAACATTTGACCACATCTTGAATTGCAGTAAGTATAGCTGTTTTAAGCAGCAGAGCTCACCACATCTATTCACAGCAGTGCCCCGTACACTGTTTTTCTTTAGAAAACAGTAGAAAAGTAATAGTGGAAATAGGAATTTCTGGTATTCTCCAAGAAGTTATTGTCTGTCAGTGTTACTAAGGATGAAAATCTGTGTACGTTTTCTTAATGATTTATGAGAAGTTTTTTCCCCTCTTCTTGGTGTTTTGCAGATAAGTGAACACAGCACACGTCTAAGCATGCAGTCTGCTAATATGCTTCTGAAAAAAATTGTAAGAAGTTCCGTCATTCCATTTGCTGCACAACATGGGATGAAAAAGGATTTGTTTCCACTCAGCAGAACTCTGAGTTTATCACTTGGCCTGAAGCAGGACAATTCATGCAGTCCCGAAGGAAAACTAGATTTAGATGCGTGGAAGAAAGTAATGAAGTCTGGGTTTCAAGAAGAAGTCAGTGAGACGGTCTCTGAGCATAAGGAGCTTTCCACTTTGGCTGCTGCACGTGAGATTATAGACATGTGGAGACTAGCTGGCAGATCGGTTCCAGAAAATATCAGTGAAGAACAGCTCAAAACCTTTGTGGAATGTCCTTCCAAGTCAGCCCAGAAGAAGTATTTGAAATTTTTGCATCTCAAAGAACTGTACAGGAAAAATGACAAGAGAAAGATGGATGAGAAAAGGGAAAGGAGGCTAGAAGCAAAAGAGCACGATAGAAAAGCTGATGAGACCAAAAAGAACTCGTTCATTTGTTTGTGGACGAGCGGTATGGATAGAGCATACAGTTGGAGGGTTGCTCAGTCTATGATCTTTGGCCAACCTCTAGTGTTTGACATGTCTTACGAAAAAGATATGTCCTTCCGAGAAACCACAAATACAGTGAGACAGTTAGTGTTCAGTGAAGCCTGCAATCGAAGATCTGTGGATCCGTTCCACATCCACTTCTGCAACTTCAAAGATGACAGCCTCTATCATAAGGAATTTATCAAGCATTACCGAGAGGCATGGAGCAAATTGCTTGTCACTGTGACAGACCAGTGCTACACAGAACTCTTTCCAAAGGATAAGCTTGTCTATCTGACTGCTGATTCTCCCAAAGTAATGAAAACATTTGATCATGATAAAATCTATATTGTGGGGTCAATGGTTGACAAGAGCATAAAAACAGGAGTCTCTTTAGCACGGGCAAAGCGATTGGGGCTGGAGACTGCTGCCCTTCCGTTGGAGAAGTACTTGCTTTGGAATACTGGTGCCAAAAATCTCACACTGGATCAGATGATGCATATTTTATTAACCTTGAAAGATACTGGAGACTGGAGGAAGGCTCTGGAATTTGTTCCAAAAAGGAAATTCCATGGCTTTGTAAGCAAGCCTGTACATGAACTGAAAAAAACCTTAAACATAATCAACACAATTAAAATTGGGAAGAGACAGGAAGAATTGCAAAAGCAATTTATGAAAAACTACTCCAAGAAGCTAAGGCAAAAGTAGAGTGATGGGGACAAGAAATAATTTTTTTTTTTTTTTTTCTAGGGGCAAACTGTGCCCTTGAATGCTCTAGTTGCTCATGACTTCTGCAGCTATAGTCAGCTTTTTAATCTCTAAACCTGCCTTTGTTGGTTAAGTTTGAAAGGACTGTTGTTAGTGTTGGTTTGTTGGGTTTTTTTTAATTACGGTAGTATTCTAGCTGTTTGAAGTCATTCACACATTACTGAAATGATGTAAGAGAAAGGAGATAATCTGTTCTAAAAAATTACTCTGTACAATGAATATCTGTCTGTTCAGTTGAACCATGATGGGAGAAAGGTGACTGTAACTGAGTGCAAGGTTCTTGCACTCAGTTCTTTGGAGAATACCTCAGTACTTTGGGTTTGCAATGGGTGGACACCATCCACAGTCTGAAAGGTTAGCGAAGACGAAATAAGAGACCTTTCTCTGTTACTTCCTGAATCCTCTTTTGATGTGTTGATGAACTGACTTCCATAGCTGAACTAAAAGAGTTAAACCTAGCATGGGTTTGGGGAGTTGCGCAGTTTGTTTCTTGATGTTCTATCCGGAATGATACCAAGACCCTATTTGGGAGGAATAAGCCAAACTTCTTGACCCTGCCAAAAAAAATACCCTGTGCACTGTTGTATAAAACTTTTTATCCCTGAGTGCCTGTGTTTTCAGTCCACATAATGTGGATTTCCCAAAGTGCTGGAACTTTTGAGATGATAAACAGTCCTAAGAGTAAGTACCCAGAGGAGCAGAGCGCTGTTTGGTGTTTCTCACAGCTGACAGTGTGTTGACTGGCCTCTCTGTGAAACCCTGTGCTCAGGCTGCCGAGCTGCCCACGGGCGTGTTGTTACATACAGTTCCTCCCGCTGTCCGTAGGATGAGGAGGGGTTTCTTCGCAGGCGCCCCAACTTTTTTGACGGTGCCTAGTTGCCTGCCCCGGCGCTTCGAGTCAGTGAGGGCGGATGGTGGGGTTTGTCCTGAAAATTCAAAAACTGGGAGTGGGGGATTAGAGGGGTGTAATTTCAAAGAGTAGGCTTCGCTTCGCCCCCGGGGGTTGGGGTGCCGAGGGCCGGGGTGCCTTCCTGTGCCCCGGGGTGCGAGGGCGAGGATGGGCAGCCCCTCTTCTTCCTCACACTTGCCCCCGGGGCCTGCCTCCCGTTGTTCACCGTCTGCCCGTTAAAAGCAGCCATCTTCTCATCTGTGAACTGGGTTGTGCGTTGGGAAGGAGAGGGAAAAAAAAAAAAAAAGTAGTCGCTGCTCTCTTGGGCTCACGTTGGGTGAAGCAGGGAAGGTAATTGTTAAACGCCAAGGGAGCACGGCAGCTGCCAGCGTTGCGTGAGTGGGGTTTACCTGCACGGCAGTGACGTCAGGGTCCTAAATATGACAGCGGGGGCGGGGTGTGTGACACTGAACCGCCCGCCCTGCGGGAGGGAAGCGGTATCGCAGCGCCGCGTCGCGTCGCGTCACTCGTCCCCCTCACACCCGACGTGCGGCTGAGAGCTTTCCCGCCCTCCCCGCCAGCTCTGGCTGGCAAAGCTTCCGTTACATCATACCCGCTGCGCCGCAGAAGGCGGGGCTTCCCTGGCCGCTCTGGCCTCCCACCCGCGCTTACTCGATGGTCGGGGGAAGGCCGGGGGGCGGGGGGGGGAGGTGCGCATGCGCGGCGCGGGAGGTGGAGGCGGGGGAAAATGGCGGACGGCCGAGCTGAGGGAGAGAAGGCGAAGCAGCCGCAGCCCGGAGGAGGTGAACATGTAGCGCCTCTCGCCGCGTAGCTGCGGGGTGGGCAGGGATCCGCCGGGGACGGGTCACCAGGGCTGGGAGTGGGGATTGGGGCTGGGGGGGGTCCGAAGGTGTCGCCCGGGGCCGGGCGGGCCTGGGCCGGGCTGGGCCGTGTCCGGCCCTGCGGGGAGAGGGGGCGGCCCGGGGCTGGGCCCGCTGCCCTCACGCCTGAGGGTTAGCTTCGGCCTTACAGGAGCTCTTTTTTTTTTTAAAAAAGAACAATCGAACAGCTTCTCCTCGTCCACGTAAATGCGTTATTTCTCTCTGTTAAAAAAAAAAAATATGCGGAAAGCTTCTGCTGTGTCTTGAGAGAAATTTGACCGTTGCTGCTGGCAGGGGTGAAGATGGCCCCTTAAAGATTAGCTTTTAAGAACTGTGTTACCTTTCAAAAACGGGTACAGAGATTATTCCTTGTTTGCCGTTTTAAGCATCCTGGGTTTTTTGCTTCGTAGCAATCGGCAACTTTTTTGTTTGGTTTCATAGAATTTATATTATGACTAGATATTCCTGTCAAATTCTGTATTACTTAATATCAATTCTCCTAAAGATTTTAATCATAAATTTCTGCTTTCTTCCCCTGACTTAAAATTGAGAAGACAACGTCTTTGCAAAGATAAAGCTTCTCTTTCCTGGTTTTTATTAAGGATATCTGTAGGAACAGGGCATTTCTCTGATCTATGGAAAGATTAAATTAAGCTTGTGAGCCAGTTAGGATGGCCTCAACAGTGAGTGTTGTTTCTGATAATCACTAAAATATGAACAGTAGTACATGATTTTAGGTAGTTCCTTGATCCTTGGTTCTCTGTTGTTGGGGGTTTTTTTCTTTGGTTTGTTTTTTTTTTTTTTTTTGGGGGGGGGGTTGTGTGTGCTCTTCTGTTTGTTTTGTTTTTCCATTAGTAATACGGTAACTGGACAACATCAGGATGTCCATTATCCATAGTGCCTGGTATACTGGAACATCATTTTAACATCATTTTAATCAGTTATGGTACTTTGGCCCTAAGGAAGCATAGTCCATCCCTGATGATTTCTGAAAGCAGTTTAGAGCCTTTAGTTTTTACAAAGATCAGTGGGATTTACCTTAAAGTTAACTTAATTGTGATTGGTTTGTTCCCACCACCACCACCAATGGTTGCACTCTTAGGGACAAGAGATCCTGAAAGGCTGTGCAACTAGCATTGTTAGTCTTGTCACTTAAACCACCCAGATAGTGGAAGTTGTCCACTTACATAGCTTGTTGGTACTCATGAGAAAAACTAATCTGTGAAGTAGAATGCTTTTTATTACTGTGATCCATGAAAAGAGCACTGATCAGACTCATTTTCAGAATCGTACTGGTGCTTTCTGTAGGTGAAATGTGACGTCTTCAACACCTCTAGGAAATAATAAAGAAGCCTTAGTGTCTTGAAAAAATATATATGGGAGAGACCTGTTTAATGGATAATATATGTCTGCATTTCTAACTGTTGCCTGCAGAAATAGAACAGCACAATGGCTCCTTCCCCACCTACCCCAGTTGTCCTACACCCTTTGTTGCTCCTTCAGCAAGTAAGAATATTTCTGTCTGCAGTTTATCCTAGGTGGAGCCTACTCAAAATAACATTCAGAATGCAGTGGTGGTGGGAGCTAATTTTGAGAGAGAAACTATTTAATGTTTTGGTGAGAAAACAGATATTGGTAGATTTTGTTAGGCTTCCTCTTGTGCTTAGCAATATTCTAGAATTTTCAACCAAAGGAGTAAGCTGTAGTATAATGAGCTTCAAGCTAGCATTAGCTTGGGAAACTGGACTGGACTGATGTGCCCTGAGATTTGGGCTGCTGTGGATTTTGTATTTTGTGAAAAATAAGACTTTTAGGCTCATGGTTCCAATATTTTTAAGGCAAATGAATCTTCTACCTAGCCTTAAATCACTTTACAGTCTTCAGTGTACCTGGACTGGAATTGTAATTGAATATTCTGTTTAATGTATTGTCATGGACTAGCTGTGAAGAGTTCCTCATAGCCTTGAAGACTGCTGTTTGGGAAGCTGTGCTAAGACAGCAGCTGGTACCCAAGGTCACTTGTGTAAATTTTGCTTGTTTCTCTTTCCTCTGTTGTTTTTCACTTTTGTATCTATATGTTCTGGGTCAATTTTTTTGTGGTGCAGATTAGTACAATTTTTTTAATAGAGTGAAATTGATTACAGTTCTTAATTTTTTTTTTTTTTGTGATCTGCCATGTTTCCAAAGGTGAATAGCAAATCCATTTTTGTTCCAATTACTTATTTTCTTGATACCCAGAAGAGAGTGGGGTAGAAACGGTATATTCTGCTGCTTAACATTTGGAAAATAGCAGAAAAAAATAATATATATACATATAAAAATGGTGTCCCTGCTTGTTTTTTCTCCTGATGTTTGCTTCTTTTTTTCTGAGATGCAGTCTTGTTGGCCCCTGGTTCAGACTAGCTTCTCTCCCATTGCTCTATCTTACTTAGTAGCTTTTTGCTGTTTGAAAGCATTGCAGAGAGCTTTCTTCCCTGATTAGTGGATATGCTGTGCATGGAGGGTCCTGTTCTCCACTTGATACAATGAGGAACCAGTGCTAGCTCCAGTTTTCCTTAGACTGATAGTATGAGCACTTCCCTGTCCATTCACCAGTGCATGTGTTTTAGTGTTTTGTTTGTTTTTGTTTTTTTTTTTTTTTTTTCTCTGCTGCTGCAGTGATTTGCTTATAGCAGCAGCAGAGAAATGCATTTTTGCTGAGGCATTTACTATGTTCAATGTGAGTTTTCCAAGGACACCTTTGTCTTTTGGTGTAGCTGGAGAAGCTGAGTGTATAGGAATGAAAATGTGATTTGAGTGCTTTTTCTCTGTGGATCGTTGTTCAGCTGCTATGTTTTCCATGACTTTATATAAAACCAGAAAAGGTAAAATCTATATATATGTTTTTCTAGTGCTGATTCCTTCCTCAAGCAGAGCTTGGCAGATTTATTACAGATGAGATGCGGACAAGCAGTGACTTGAAACATGATTGAGACAGCCGGCCTCACTGTAGTCACTTCCATGATTTTAGAGTTGTGCCAGACAAGCCTAGAGACTGGCATGGACATGTTTTTGTAGAAATTTAGTAGAATTAATTGTAACTTAGATTATCTACTCTAGATTTGGAATTGGGATTCCAATTATGAAAGTTTATCTGTGGCAACTTAAACTCTAAAAAGATTTAGTCATCTACATTTAATTTACTACATGAACTTTGACTTCCATACTAAGTAAAGAGATGGTGCTTCAAGATTGTTTTCCTGGCTCATACACAAGAAGTTCCTTACAAGTAGTGGAGTGCTTGCAGTTTCTTCTCCTCTTTGTGTTTTGCTGTCCACTAAATGTACATTGGTGGAAACTGCTGTCACTAAAAACACCTTACGTATTGCACTCAAAGTATAATGCTTTTTGAGGTTGCTGCTCCCATCAGTCTGCTCAGTAAAAATAGCTCATCTTGGTAAGTTGTTTCGACTTCACCAGGACCTGAAGAAGAGGCAGAAAAACCTGTGAAAACTAAGACTGTTTCTTCCAGTAATGGAGGAGAAAGTTCGAGTCGCAGCGCAGAGAAACGGGCAGCTAATGAAGAAGCTGAAGACTTCACCACAAAGCCTGCTCCTGCCAAAATGTCCAAGTTTGGATTTTCCATAGGCAGTCAGACAGCAAAGAAGGCATCTGCAATATCCATCAAACTAGGAGCAAATGTAAGTTGTCCGAGGGCTTTTAATTTTAGGGAAAGTACTTTGGGGAGGCTTCCTTGCAGAGGGAAACCCTTGGATTACGTGAGGGTAACTTGGATAAAATTCAAAAAAGCATTGCAGGGCCAGCTAATAGTGCATGTGTAAGTACTTCATGGTGATTAATATCAGGTCAGGTGTCCCAGGTAGCATAAGACTTGATTGAAATGAACTGTAGATCTTTGAACATACAGAATAATTTTGTGATGAGATTTGATAAGACTGGAATGATTTCCTGGGGGAAACGAACAGACTTGTTAAGCTGTTTGGACTACTTTGAAATGAGTGCTGGGAGCTTCATTGCATAGGATGCTTAAAGCTACAAGAAAGCAAGTACTCTCCTAGATAGCTTAATAGGTCATCTTTCACTCCAAATATCTTATTTTAGCATGGGGAAGAATAGTTTATTTTGCATGACTTTGCCTGTTCTTTGCAAGGTCAGTGTGATTCATTTATACTATATGCAAAAGTTGGGGCTTCGTTACGTAGGTTTCTAAGAATTCTGATCCCCTTTACTGTACAGTACAAGGTATCCTTGTGCTTGTTCAGATGTGAATCTGATGCTTCTCTTCACTACCAAAGTTAGTCTTCTACTAGCTTGGGCAAGGACAAGCCAGATGCTGCATCTCTATTTAATACAGTTAACTTACACTTCCCACGTACCGCTGTGGTGGATTGCTTGTCTGGATTAAATTCAAACTGTAATCATGAAAGGCTTGCACCTGCAATGCCAGCATTTTACAGATCTACAAAAGATGAAGAGAGTGCTCTGTTATTTTGAGATGGGAGGGAGATGTGGGCTGGCAGCATTCTAGGGTATAAATGCAATCAGGTCAGCTCAGACTTTGGAAAAATTGACAAAGCTGCCTTCTCTGAGCTGTTGAGCAAGTTCTGATTTCTCATGTAGAAAGATACATCCAGTGACAATAAATTTGGCACAAAATTTTTGGCTCACTGAATTCAGTAGGTGACTGTCAGTGTACCGCATTGGATGATGCTGAAACTTGTTTCTTTTTAGTCAGTTTATTCCCATAGTATGTTACCCATTCCTGTGGAGCTGATGCTTTAAGAAGTGGCACAATATTTCTACGTTATACACTGTTGGTGAGGAATAGCTGTAGACAGTTGCATAAGGACTCTGCTGCAGTATCAGCTTCGAAACTATGAGTGTGTATGAAATAATCACCAATAAAGTCAAAATGGTGGAAGAACTGTATATGATTGATTTAGATAATAGGTAGTACTGTAGAAGCAAACAGTTACTGATGACCCAGTGCTTTCTTAGTGGTCTCAAAGTTACTTTCTATATCTCTGCTGTATTATGTGTAACAGTTGTGAGTTTGATAGCTTCTTACGCTTCAAATAGATGAAGGTATTTATTGGAAATGAAAATAATACTCTTTAAAGGATCCATGTATTAATCAGTCTGTGAGATGCACACTGGTGCTAGTTTAAAAGTATGGAATTGTTTTAAGCCAGAAAGATGCTAAGTTGTTGAAAGGCAAGAAAGTAAACATATTCATCTTCCTGGCATTGATGAATAAGAATACTCCAAAAGAATAATATAAACAGTGACATAATAAAATTTTGAATACTACAATTTATTCAGGTTCTGATTTAATCGTTCATGTCATGCACCAGTGGCTGCATACCCCTGCAGTTTAAGACTTGTGGGGACTTGTAATATGAGAGGGCTTGGCTTGCTTTTCAGAGTGTATGTCACACAAATTGAGCAGCCATTTTCCTTTTCATTAGAGAGAAACCTTTATCTACTTGATTCAAAAAAACCCACTTTTCCCCCTCATTGCCCATTTCAATGAAGATGTTTGACTTCATTTTAGCAAAATATTTAAAATACCAAGGGTCGCTTTTTTGAATTACTGGACTGACTTTATGTGTGCATTTGGTCTTTTTCAGAAGCCTAAAGAGCCTGTTCCAACTCTTGCTCCAAAAACTCTTTCTGTAGCAGCAGCTTTCAATGAAGATGAAGATGTGAGTAGTAAGCCAGTGGTCAGCACAACTTAAAGTACCCTTGGTGTGGTGTTACAGTTAGACAAAGAGAGCAGGTCATCTAAAGTTCTTCGCATAGATGTCAGGGATTTTCAACCTAGAAACATCCCTTGTGTTTGTTTTAGAATGTATAACTTTGTAGCTCTGTGTTGGTTCAAGAAATCATTAAAGTGCTGATAACTTTTCCCTGAAAATGAAATGCACAATGTAATTTGAATTAATGGTTGCTTTCTCTGGGCTTGATAAAGGGGAGGTGAAGAATTGTGCTTCCTCTGGTTTGCTAAATATTTTATTGTCGTGTTACTGCTCCTTCTTACACAGAGGTGAACAAAGGGCTTTGTATTTCTTTCTATAACCTTGTAGTTATACCTCTGTTTTCTCCTATGTCATTTCGCTTTCCTGTAGGGCTGTTGTAGTCCATACTTTATCTGTCAGGCATTTGAAATGTTGAAGAGATAGTGCCCAGCCACACTCTAACCTCCTTTCTCTCTGTAGAGTGAACCTGAAGAAATGCCTCCAGAAGCCAAGATGCGCATGAAGAACATTGGAAGGTAGGTCAGCTTTTAACTGTGGTTTGGAGAAGGGTGAGTGTATGAGAATACCTCCTCCTGCACAGGTCACATCTTGCAGATGGTTTAGAAATACAGGAAGATAGAATAGGTTCAAAAAGTTTTTCTCCAGAAATTAGAAAATTTTAATACAGATATTTTCAAATGTTTCAGCTGTAGGCTAGAAGTAATACATTTATATTTGCACTTTAAATCTTATTTACCTTCTTTATAAGGAAGAAATTGAGTCTGTATTAAATAGAAGCGATTTTTCTTCTTCGAAAGGCAATAGGTGGGAGTTCCTGCTTGCTGTTAAACTTTGTATCTGTCTAATTCTCCATTTTATAAATTGCCCTGAAATAGGGCAGTTTGGTCAGATTTTTAAACTCCCATGCAAGGGGAAGATGAGAATCATCTCTTTCAGAGAGTCAAAGAATCACTTGTTTGCTTTTGAAACAAATACATATAATTCTTCTGCTCGCCAGAAATTTGAGACAGTATAGGGCCAATAGGGCCAGTTTCAGAGGAGGTTTCACTTAGGGGTGAATTTTGAGCATATATATTTTAAAGATGTTTATCATGATAAAGTGCTTTTAAAGTCAGTCCCCTGGAGGTTCCCTATTTTTTAGTGTTTTGTTTTGTTTTGTTTTTTCTGCAGTAGCAAATTTGGATACCCAATTTTGTAGCCATTGCTACAAATTCTTCTCGGCTGGCAGTAGTTACTGCCACCCCCACCTCCTCTGCTGCCCCATCTCATTGCTTTGTCTTGATGTGCTACAGAGAGATCAGTTCTGTGGCCAAATTACACTAATAGTGAGGATTCCTGATGTAACAGAAGGAAACGTGTGGTAGTTTCTGGCGGCAGGTTGGACTTGAAATTGGTGTTTTCAGTGTCATGTTGCACAAACTACTATCGTTGAGCTGACTTTCTCAACTGATCTTGTTTTACTTTTCACAGGGATACACCAACCTCAGCAGGACCAAATTCCTTCAATAAAGGAAAGCATGGTTTTTCTGACAACCAGAAGCTATGGGAACGAAATATAAAATCTCATCTTGGAAATGTCCATGACCAAGAAAATAACTAAATGATGTGGATTGAGAGTTGGGTGTTTGGGGGGAGGGGAGGGTGTAACATTAAAGGAACAGTTTCCTTTTTTAAGAATGGTATAAGACTATCTTTGGAGCCACTTTTTTAAGATTTTGAGTGGTACACTAATAACTGAGTTTGAAATTAGAGGTAATTTATGTTTTGTATACAGATTTCAAGGCATTTGCTAATTTTGTAGTTCCATGTGATTAGTTTCAAAAGGTTACAGATAATAAAGAAATTGGAGTGGTACCTTTTTAAGATTTTTTTTTTTATTTTAATTTTTTTTTTTTTTTTTTTTGGTCAGTGATTAATTAAGGTGGATGAAAAAGGTTACTGTCTCTTTAATCAGGTTAACACTGAATGCTCTCGCATTCTCACTTCTGGCTCCCTCTTCATAACAGGAGAAACAGCTGACTCCTAGGAATACTGCTAAAGAGAGTGAGCATTGTCTTGTGCTAGAAGTGTTACTGGACTATTAATTTGAATATAAATTTATGCAGGAAATAATAAAAATCTGGATTTTTTTTTTTTTTTCTCCCTGCAGTCACCTTTTGTTAAGTCTCTGCAAGCTAGGAATTATGTTGCTCTGAGTGGCTCTGGTAACTTAGCTCTAATTTTGTTCAAAACTTCATGTAGGATGTGTAACCTTCTGTGGCCTGTTTCATCCTAAGGAAATGGGCCTTGTCTGTATATTAGATACAGTCTGTAAAGAATATTCACTGCAAAGGTAAATCAGTATTTTCAGTGTGCTCCTCTTACATCATTAGCCTTGAGTAGTGCTTGTCAGCATTTCCTTGCAGTACACAAAAGCCACCACCAAAAAAGACAAGCTAATGTACATTAAGCTTCACATTTGGTTGAAATATTTTTCTTTACTATGCCTAGAAGGAATAAAAGCCACACCAAAAATTGATAACTCACTGCTTAAGTATGAAAAAATCTAAGATGCACTTTCCCTGTCTTGCCATTTAAAACAAAACGCCTTGCTGCCTGTGACCTCAGTGGACACTATCAGGCTAAAGAAGAATACTGTATTTGCAGTCCTAATGCTTCTAACAAGTGTCAACTTCAGAAGTACAACTCGATGCTTCCCTACCTGTCTGCCTCTTGCAGTAATTTTCAACAGTTAATGTCATTGATGGACTAATTAAACTGTGTGGTCAGTTTAATTTCCTGGCTTTCATACTGCAGAACAGTGCTGTAGGATTTCAAACCTAGTAACAACTGCTTAAATTTCAGTCTAATTTAGATTGCATATTTGAAAAATATTTGGCTAGCAGAACTGGTTAAACTGAAAGTTTTCAACAGCAACATGACCCCCCACAGCCCCCCGAACAAGCATAGGGTTCTTTTTCAACTCAAATACCTGATAGTGTCAACCACTAAATTACTTTTAGCCTGGAACTGGTTGTAGAATTCAATGTTAATTGCTTTCATCCTGCCTCTAAAACCTTTCTTCATCTTAAAGTTGAACTTGCAAGTGCAGAAAGGAAAGTGCATCTTGAAGTGTTTTGGGTTTGTTTTTTTCTTTATTATTTTAGGAAAGCTCTGACCACTTAGACTTTTGAGTTTGTAAGTTCTAAAAAGTATTTTTTTGTATTTTTGTATTGTATGTGTAATCTTTCTTCTTTTGAAGTCTGATGCAGTTGAATACCTGTAACTATTTTCTTTAAAAGACTTGTTATAAACGTAACATAAAAACGTATACCTTATTTTTTTCCATAGCAGGAATCTTTGGTTTATTCAAAACAAAACACACTTTCAGAACTGATTTTCAGGACTGCCAAAACTGATTTGGGCATTACTGGAACTAGGCAAGGCAAAATGAAGCATTTACTTTTCACTTATTTTTATCACGTGTGGTTATGTTTGTTGAAATAAATCCCTTAAAGATAGTGGTAATTCACAGTGAATAACTATTTTATCTTGTTCCTTAGTAGTTACTTGATACTGTCTCGGTCACTTGTATTAGGAAAAAGCAAAAGGGAACTTTGGCTAAGAACAAGAGGAGGAGTCTTGAGACCTATTCTTTTTTAGTTAACCTGCCACCAACTATGGTTTCCACATATTTGACTGAAATAGACATTAATTTCAACAGAATTTCCTGGTAAAATCCTGTAAGAAATTGCTAGGCAGAGCAGCAGTCACACTAGGAGATGCCTTCCATGCAAGTGAGAGAGCAAAAGTTAGATTTCTCTAACTCCCGTGGTCAGTAGGTGTAATCCTAGACCTGGGTGCGAGGCTGCAGCAGTGCCTGGGTCTCATCTGAAGGTGAGCAGAGATCCTGCCTCCCTCGCTGGGCGGGTTCTGCTCCTCAGTGCTTCGTGGAAGAAAATGGATCAGGATGGCCTGAATCCACTGGGGACTGATCGCCTGACAAGCTTGGCCTTGTAGCTGCAGGGGAGCTTAATGTCTGACGCTTGCAGGAAAAGATCTGATCTGAAAAGTATCGTCGTGGCAAATGTTGGCTAGACCTTCACTTGAAGTTCTACGCTTTTGTTACAATAGTCATGGTCTTTGCTGGAAGACAGACTTGGGGTGGGGGAAGGTGTGATTTTATTTTTTTTTTTTTTTTTGGTTCTTTTTTGAAGAATATTCAGGAATCCTAAAACTCAGGGTAGACTACCTGAGTCAGCTAGCTTAAGTGCTTCCAGGCGGTATGCTGAGACCTTCAGCTGCTTAGCATAGCAAGGTATGTATACCCATCAGTGGTTGAAATGTCTGTCCGTGTAACTTGTGCAGCCTTATCTCGGGAGGCTTACCCTTGCTTTGCAGTAAAGCTTTACTTAGCACCTGAGCAGCTTGCAAAACATTGAGTACATTAGGTGAAGATAAAAGTAATTGCCCAGTAACCTCTGTGCTACCCTGCAGCTAGGCTGCTTCTGAACCTGCTGGGCTGTGAATGGGTCCAAACGTCTAATGCTAACTATATTCAAATAATAATATTTAAAAAAAAAAAAAAAATCCCCGAAACAACATAAAACGAGGAAACAGTGCAGTCAATTCCTGGTGGCCGTGTTTGAGGCGATCCCGGCTGTCGCCCCTTACACACCTCATTTTAGTCCTTTCAAAGGGCGGTTACGTTACCCGGTGCACTCGCTGTCCGTATTCTCAGAACCTGTATTTTATCAGCAGAAAGAAGTTCCCTGCCAGCCTGCCTGTGAGGTGAACCGTTGCGCGCTGGTTTCCCTTCGCGGGCTCACTCCCGTGTCGTGGATGACCCGGGTACAGTGTTCGGGCAACCACCCTGTGCCGGCAGCAGGCCCAGCTGCCGTCGGGCCCGCTGGGCTCCTCGCCAGAACCCACCGATGGTGCTGAGCTCTGCGTGCTGGGGGTGGCTTTGCCAGAGCTTTCTGTGAGAGGAGGAAAAGTCAGCTTTTGAGGAAATGTCGGCTTCTGCTTCCTGAAGAGGTTTTAAGCCCTTGGCAATCACAGGTGTAACTGGAATTCTTTATAGGCTGCTGTAAGGTAAGAAGATAAATGTTTGGAGAAGCAACTAAATCTCAAGAAGGCATTTTATCTAGTAGCCTTAGAAAGTGTTCTGCAACAAGAGGTGGAGTCTTTTTTTAATTCATTATAAAATTACAAATTGAGGAATGCTGAGTAGTTCTGCCCTTAAGCTACAGAAGAGACAGTTGCATTCTAAAATCACCATAATTTGTCAAGTTCCTCTGCCAAGAGGCAGTAGAACACCGTAGAAATTGGACAAGCAACAATTTGATTTTTTACTCTATCCTATTAACGTCTTCCTTATTTCTTCTATTAATGAAGTGATCTCCAACTGTCTTCTCATTTTGATATATTGGCATCTTAAAAATGATGTAGAGCTTACTTAGGAAAGCTGCTCGTGTTTTGTGATCTGGAGCCGTTGCCTCAGGGCAGATGCATAGCTAGCTCTAGAATTAAAAGCAGGAAACATGAACTGTCGAACTCTGTATAAATTTCTGTTTATGAACCTCCATTTAAAAGTCTGGAGTGGTGTGAGTCCAAGCGAGATTTAGTTACCAAAGCAAACGTTTAAAACTAGAGCGCACGCTTTCTGGGGGACCGGTACCTGTGTGCCCAGCTGCCCGTCAGGCGAGGTGGGGCGGGTGTGAGCGGCCGGGACTGTCACCGCTAGCAGGCAGGGCGGGTACTTTTTCATTCAGTCGCGTATAGTGAGGTCTTAAAAAGCTTTGCTGATCTTGTGACTTAGTTCTTAAATTTGGTTCTTGGATTTCCTGATGAGACCGATGCACAGATAAAGCGTCTGTGGTTCTGCAGCAAGAGCTCCACTGAAACCTCATGTCACGAGCCTTTGTTTTCCTTACAGTACAAGCTTATTAATTTAAGGTGATGCAAGTCATAATAAAAAACATCATTATCTCTTCTTCTGTCCCCCAGCTTTCCATAATTTGGAGGCATAGTAGTTGCATATAAAGTGTTGGCTGACGCTCAGTAGCTTGTTAGAAAATAATAATTCAGCCTTTGCTTTTGTGAAAGAAGTGTGACTGTGGTAGCCTTTCATATTCATACCTACGCCGACCTCCACTATATAGAATTGCAGGCACTGAATAGAGCATTACTGATTGCAAAACTAGCATGTATCTTAGGCTGTGCCTTATTCTTGTCACTCACATGCTTGTTTAACCACAGTCCTGTTCAAGTTAATACTGACCTTACCATCTGTAAGATGGGGCGCTTTGCCTGAGACAAGAAATACTGCCCTCAGGAGGGAACTTGCCATAGGCATGCAAAACAAACTGTTAATTTCTGGGAGGTCCCTGCAGTGTCACACTGGATTTGTGTTCCCCCAGAGCCCTGCACCCACGGGTGGCAACGGCAGGGCCGGGGGCCTCTCGCCTGCTGTACCTGCCTGAGAAGAGGTCTCAGTAAAGAGGTGCCTGAGAGGCACGGGCTTCCCACTGTGTTGGCAGCAGCAGCTGCTGTGAGGCCGGCTCCTGAATGTTAATCGTATTAAATGTATATGCAGTTCCAATGCTGTAGAAATGTACGGCTCTTCCTTTAGCAGCCAGGAATGACACGGTTCTAGCTCCGGTAGGAACAACGCAGGGACAACACTACCCCCACGGCACTTTGCTGTTTCTCAGTTGTAGTTGCATCCCTGCTGAACAGCAGTTGTTCAGTGGTAGGACGCATTCCTCCTTCAGCACTCGGCCTTCTGAAACTCCTGTTTTATACTTAATAACACACTTCCCACTTGGCTCGGTTACTTGTAGGGGCTCAGAGAAGAGCTAGTACGCTAAAAAGCTCCTAGCGTTTCCCCTCGGAAGCGGGATGAACCACCAAAGGCGATCAGCCTTTCTGCAACACTGACGTCGCCTGCAAGTTGCTGTAACAGCCAAGGGAGAGGCAGAGGATGCCATTCGCCCCCCCCCCCCGAGGAGGGAGGCAGCAGTACGGCTCAGCCTCCCCCCGGGAGAGGGGCACTCCCAAACCACAGCCCCCGCTCAAATAGTCGCCCCAGAGCAAAGGCCGAGCCAGAAGTGCCGTCGGGGGGGGGGGGGGGGGGCTGGCAGTGTTGGACAGGAGCCCACAGCAGGAGAAAGAACGTCTGAAACAAACTGCGGGGGTCCCAGCTGGGTAGCAGGGGGCTGAGGGGGTGCCTCACCCACCAAGAGGTTGTGCAGCCAAAGTGATTTCAGTATAAATACACACGGCGTTCTGTTAACGTTGCGCTCTTGCATCGCCGTGTTCTGACACAATTTAGGAGGGCGGTGGGTTTCCTTTTCTCATACAAGTTAATTTTTTGAGCCTTAGGCAAAAATTAAGAAGCAGGTGTTACTGGAACTATTCAGACCAGACATCTGTCTATATAGGGGAGGTGAAATGCTGAAGAGGAACACAGAGTTCTGCAACACACTTCTTCCCCTGAAAAAAATTGCTTGAATGAGTAATTCATGGCAATGCTCAGTTTATTTAATGACAGAAATAACCGTAACTTTATACATTTAACACTAAATAAAACCAGCAGAATGTACAAATCAAAGTCATTATGTACAGGAAATCACTAGGAATACTTTAAAAATGGACACTTCTCACAAAGTTTATTTTTAAAACAAATAAAATTAAATAGTATCAACTGCATATTTGCAGCCTGAATTCAAATAGATTGCAGAAGGGTAGTGAACATCTTAAATTAAGTCTAAAGAAAAACATAAGGCAACTTCACACATACAGGAACAGGAAAGCTCAGGGTGACACTCCCTACTTACCTCACGCCCTTCTGAAAAGGTGCAGAATGTTAGGAAAGATGTGCCACAACACTCAGCTTGGACATTCCTGGCTGAGTCTTGTTTAGGAAACAACCTTTTGTGAGTTTTTGTTTGTTTGTTTTTAAATGGCAGGCCATCAAGTCAGTTAAAGCATTTTTACAGTGGGTAACAAGGCTCTGAAATTCAGATTCAATTCTGCTTCTTCTGGGCAAATAAATAAATGCACCAAAAATTAAACTCGTATATATAAAGGTGCTCATAATACTCTTTTTGTAAGGTAACACACTAAATATACAAATAATGTTCCAGCGCTATTTACAGCTATTTTTCCTTGAACATTTCCTCACTTTAGTGATACATAATTATTTGTAAGATACAAACACTGAAGTAAGTTTTAAAGTTCACCTAGTGCTCTTTTAATTTTTTTTTTTCCATCACAATGGCAGTATTTTAACTTTAAGCAGGATGGCTATCTCCAGATTCTTGACCATACAAAAATTCAAGTTACAGCTAGCGGTTTTGTGTTTGGTTTTTTTTTTTGTTTGTTTTGTTTTGTTTTGTCTTTTTAATTTTGTTTTGGTTTTTTTTTTTTTTTTTTTAAGTATTCATATTAGTTTTACTCCATTTGGTAATTAGAAAAGAACAAAACTGTAAAGGGCTGCAGGATATATAACTAACTCGATTACTCCTCTGCAGGAAGACCGTGACCTTTGAAATAGTCATCTGTAGATTAATTCAGATCCAAGGCAGGAACTCAAACTACATATTGCTTAAAAAATTTTCAACAACTGCTTATTTACATGCTTGCAAAGTATAAAAAGAACAGTCCATTTTGTAGCTTAGTAGAGGGAGTCTCATTAAATAAGATGAAAGGTAGAAATACTAATTCAAATGAGGTGGTTACTTTGTCACAGATTTTGCTTAAATTTTGTTCAGTGGATCCCTTTCACAGGTAGCACAGAGTTACATGCATGTAACTTACAAAGTTTACTCTGCAATATTACAGGCTCCCAGCTCCTCCCATACCTTGCTGCTGTCAAAGCTGGGAAACGTTTGATAATACTATAGACTGAGAGCAATTTACAGAATACAGTTCTGATTGTTCACATGCGTAGCACATTGTTACCTTGACAGGCATGTTTCTTGCTTAAAACCCACCCAAACGAGCATCAATGAAATGACCCACCCCTAGTACAGACTAAGAGGTGCACTGGTGGTGGTATTACATCAGGGACACTTGAACGGGGGCCAAGCACAGCCGTGATTCATGCTTACTCGCAGCAACACCCAGTAAGAGTTCTTCCATCTATGTGGTGTATCACTGGGTACTTAGCTTGCCCTAGAAGTATTTTCTTACAGCAGCAGTAATGAGGTCTTCTGGAGACTCTGGTAATTTTGATAGTTCCCTATCCTGATATTGCTAGGTGTCCCGTCTGGGAGTTAACAGGGCTCCTCCTTTCAACGTGATACATGACAAGATCAGATCATAACTAGTTGGACTTCCTCCGTATTTATATTTATATTCCAAAACAAGTGTGACATTAGACTTTTTTCATTTGAGAGTTTCTACCTCAAATGTAATGCAAAACTGGAAACATCCATCATTAGGTCACCTGCTTTGGATACATACAACGATGCAGGCGAGGGCTTCCTTAACACAACCAAACATCATCAAACTAAAACACGGTTTGTGCATAGAGGCTGAAGTGCAAGCTCCTCACAAATAAAAAGCAGTTTACTCCTCTAAGCAGGCTCCCTGCAGTGGGCCAACTTAAATTCACAATCTGTCTCAGAGAACCACTTCCTCAGACTTCAGCGGACCCCTGCTCGTTCTCTGTAAAACATTTTACAGTGTTTTGCTGAACTTTGGACCCGCCACCCACAGACTTGGAATTTAAGTTCTTCAAAACTGGGATTCACTTAACTGCAGATGGTACATCTACCCAAAGAAAAAAGCCTCAGGTGTTCTCTATGTTGCATGAAGCACATGCTGCATGAAGCATCCTACCATCCCTTTTTCTTGGGGAATAAACACACAGAATCCAAGGCAAGTAATTTGCTTGCAAACTTGTGAAATGCACATAAACCCAAAAGTTTAAAAAATGCTACCAATAGTTGTGCATTTCTAGTTTTTAGTGCAGCCACTATTTTTTGCCTTTTTGTTTTTTAAAAGTTACAGCATGATACTTACTCCATGACACATAATTTTTTTTTTTTTTTTGTGTGTGTTTTTGACAGTTACGGCCAGTGCAGAAATCTTAGCCTTCAAAGCCTTGGCCCACCCTGAAGCATCTTAACTTTTTCCCTGTAATGCGTGGTACAGGATTTTATCACCAAGGTGATTAACTGTTTGAAAACAGGCAACACTGTAAGCCTCAGATACCCAGTTAAATACTTAGCTCCCACGGACCGCAAGACCTCGACTTTTTTGCTCTCTCATATACTATATTCAGTCTTTGTCACATGGGCCACTTCTACTTCTACAGTTTCAATGGCCTGTGTCACTTCGGCCATTTTCTGTCCTTGCTGTTGCGCCAATACGTAATTTACCACCTGCATGATGCTTTGGTCAGAAAGGGTGGAGACTGATGTACATTCCTCAGTAGCTGCAACTGCTCCAATGGCTTCCAGCGTCTCTCCTGTCACTACCACAGTCTCAATCTCACTATCATCAACTCTAATCTTGGTTTCTTGTTCCTGCACGTCTGCTGCCAAAATGCTGATGGCATGCTCTACCTGAGTCCCCTGGTTATGAAACTGAAGAGTATCTTTTTCCAGCATAATTTTGCAGGGTATGTAGTCCCTGTGAAACTTGGTCATGTGCTTCCGCAGCGTCCGGGCATCTATGTAAGCTTCGTTGCACACTGGACAGACATACGGTCGTTCTCCAGTGTGTGTCCTCACGTGGCGCTTCAATGAACGTGCATCAGCCCAGGCGACTCCACAGGTCAGACACTCAAATGGCTTCACACCTGTTCCCGGAGGGAAAGCAAGGAGAAGGTGACTGTCAGCGTTTGTAAATATGCATGAGCCATGATGAGAAGTGACAGAGAGCGCAGCAGTAGAAAAGAAGAAATACTATCACTTTTTCCATATCAAACAGATCTTGTTCACCATTTCTGTACTATAATACAATGCAAGCATAATATAGTAGTATTAATATAATGTAGTATTAACATAATGTAGTATATTAATATAGTAGTATAATATAATGGTAGTATTTTCTACAGGTGCTCTGCCCAATCTAACATTTTACATTTAAAAAATTTTTCTTCTCAAAATTCCTTATAATGCAGTTTTCCCCCTATTTTAAGTGATACCACTTAATAAAATTATCTTTTTTTTTTTTTGCCAGTGATGCTTTTCTGAAACCATGTTTTATTTCATAGAATTTGTCACATTCCTAGTCACCCTTTGTTTCTGTAAATCCTTCTATACACCACTTGTCAAAACAGCACTTACTCTAGTTAGCTTGTAATGCCATCTACAGCTTTTTCCCTTCTCCTCCACACCATGTATGTTCGAATATATGCACCTGATGCTTGTATTATCTTATTCTCCCTTATAACATCTGAGCCTGTGGTCTGTACTACCGAAAGGGGCATGTGGGTGGCGACAAACACTATTTCAATACTGGCTTTGTAACAGTTACTGTAGATTTAGGCTAAGCACCTATGACAGGACACTTTCTCTGTTTAGAAACACAAAATCTCTATTTCAATAGTTAGACAGCTATTAGATTTACTCATAACAGCTCCTTAAAACGAGACACGCTTCGAAAAAGTGGTTTTTGCCCTGAGACAGGAGTATATATAGACTTCCAACATAGCTGGAATGCTCAAATACTCAAAAATCACTATCATACTTCACATCTAAAGTAAAAATGCACATATAGGTGGTTTTTTTTTTAATTATAAGATGTTTTCATATTTTCCCCAGACATCATATAATTTACTCCTTGTTATAAATCAAGAGGTGGATCAACTTCCAACAGTCGTTCTTTTTTAAAATTCAGGCCAATCGCTCTCCTATTTGGAGAATATTTTGTTAACTGTGTGCACCCTTCAAACTGGAGAATGCTTTACTACATCCAGTTCTTTGCCAGATACACCTCTTTTAATCACTTCTAAAAAATTCCTCTTCCATTGAAGTCCTGAGAAGGACAAGTTGTCACTGTCCCTGTGTGCGACTGCAGTTTTAAGAAAATCCCAACAGCCACTTCCAGGAATAACTGGAAGCAAGTTAACAAAGCAGGACTAGCATAAAATATAGAGAATCTGTAAGAATTTCTATGCATCTTGCAACGCAGGACATACACAGACTCAAAACAACAATTTCCCTTTTCTCCACTATGCTTTTAGGGGTTGAGGGATGTCACAACTACAAGCTTTCTGCATACCTTCATGATTGTTCATGTGTCTCCTATATTCCCGGAGTTGTGTGAATTTTCTTCCACAATGCTCGCAAACTCGTTCCAAATTTTGTTTTGCTCTTCCTTTTTTACCATGTGTGGCTTTCTTTACATGTCTTCTGTACAAAGCTTTCTCATAAAATTCTTTACCACATATGTTACACCTAAAATGCGTTAAGTGAGAAACCTATTGAAACCATTATTCTATGTTTATGTTACATTTTTTTAAACCAAAATACACTTTAATTATAGTAGGCAAAGTTTAATGGGAATAATGTCTCATATGACAAGCATTTACATAATTAGAAATAATACTGCTGGACTGAGCTACATTTCCTCTTACTCACAGCCACAAAGTTTCCACTTACCATTCCAGAGAAGTGAGATCACACACAACGCATTTCTAGCTTCATCAATGATATTTATCCTCTTACAACTTCCTTTGTATTAGTTCCAGGACTGTGTGAGCAGGTTAACAGTTGGACCACACTATGTGAAGGCACCCATTTGTTCTCAAGACCCAAGTCAACACCAACAAATTGGTACTTTAACAATGGACTAGACAGTTCCTTGTTGACTGACTGTGGATCTATATAACCTCATATTGATTAGCACATTTCAGTTGTTAAATCAATTTCCTCTTACCTATAAGGGTCTGTGACAGAATGAGACTTTACATGAGAATACCAGTCTTTCTTCCAACTGTAACATTTTCCACAGAACTGACACTGAAATGGCTTCACACCTAAATGTTTATTCATGTGCTGCCGAAGGTCTCGAGCTTCATAGAAACTCTTTTCACACCTGTAACAGTAAAGATTATAGCATCCCATATAAGAAAGATCTTGTTGATCCTGATTTCAAAGGCACCGAAACCCTCCTCTTTAATGGCAACTGAAGACATTGAGAAGACAACACCTATTGCATCATCAGTATCTGTGTAAAGCACAATCCATTTCCAAACCAGGAAAAATTAAAAGGAACAGCAGCTTATCTGAAAGTCTGGAATATAACTTGAGGACCTCTGAAATACTTTTGTCTGTTATGGGTAACTATATTCTTTCTGTTATTTTTATGGGGAATAATCAAAGGCAAACTGACTGGAGGACATCAGAAATTTGTATTATACCATATGAACTTATGAGGATAGTATCAGCTGTTTCTTCCCTTAACCAAAGAGGATTAATTATCTATACAAAGATAACTAGGATTTCTTGTTTGTCATGCTCAACTATATTTTTTTAGAAATTAAACAATCAAATTCAGAATCCTACAAGAAAGCATCTGAAAGTAGCAATACTCATTCTTTAGCTTGCTGCTTGTATACATCTAAACCCAGGCAAACTCCTAGCTTTCCTTCACTTATACCTTGCCATAGTATGACTATATAAAATTATAAAACATTAGCTCATCTTGGTATGAAAACTACAGAGGTCAGTCTAATCAAAGACGTGCATTCTCCCTTTGAAAGAAATTCTGCTCTTCAGACATCTTTGCCTGATCATCTGAATCTCTTCCTCATGTAACATCATATACCTGTGTGACTCAAGAAAGGACAGAGGCAGAGAAATGCCAGCAAGCAAAGGTGGAGGATTCACCTTCTATAGCTGATCAACCTCTGGAATGGGGAATCTCAGAATTCCCAACCTCCAGTGGAATCTGAAAAGAAAAAAGCTTCCATACAGGAGCAAAACTTTTAATATTACATTTCCTGAAGAATGGGCATTCAGGAGAGGAAAAGTGCCATCTTCAGTTTTGAGGGGGTGGGGGGAAGAAAAAAAAAAAAAGTGATGGTCCCTGAGCCACCTGAACAACTTCCTCCTCCTAGGCTGGAAAAACTGACAGCTCCAGTTCCAATGGGGCCTTCAGGGATCCTGGGATTGCTGATCCACATCAAAAAGTATCGCAAAGACTCCTAAAGGTCTTGAATACCTATCTGGAAAGGCCATTAGAGAAGTAAAAAACTCAAGAAACCACTACCACCACCCTCTGACACTTCCATGCGCTACTGCAATTTAATCGAATATCTACTTCAGTGGACAACTTCCACAATCATTCTAGGAAAATAACTCATGTTCAGCTTTGTAGAACTGGGCCAGAAGCTCAAACTGGCTGGGAGATTTGAGCCAGACTTGAAGTCTGGCAGGGAGATCTACATACCAAGCCATTGAACTACAAAACTGAAGTCTGGTTATTACTTACTGAAGCTCTCTAAACCATTTGTGACAACGTGAATTACATTCTTGGTAGAGATCTTTGCTGTAGAATAAACAAGGACTACGTCTGTTTTGAAGTAGTTGGGGAATCAAACTATCTTCTCTGTCAAGGTGATCTTTTGCATCTATGACTGCACTGCCTGGTGTAAAAAATTTTTATTTTTTAAATATATTTCTCCTTCAAAACCAAAATTGCCTTCTCTAGTACGTTTCATTAAACAGGGTCCACAACAGGGACAGAACTATTAGCTCTGTTCTTTGTATTTCTAGGACTGGCAATTTTAGCATTAAAAAGCACTAAATAAAAACATTTCTGACAGATTTAAAGTGAGTTTTCAGCAGCTGGAAAATACTGCTTTTGCTACCACACACCAGCACTTCCAGAGATGCTTGGAACAATATTTCAGATTATAGCTTTCAATAAAACCATGGGTTGCATATAGGCAATCACATGAATTGTGCAACTCGTCTTAATACCCGAGAGAGTTTTCCAGAGACCTAATTGTTACTTTGGAAATTAAGCAGCATTTGTGCTTTTGCGGGTCACCAGAAAGGTTCTCTTATAGTCTGCTTGGTCATGGAAAAAGTATCCATGTTCTGCAAATGCACTAGCAGACACGCCTTTCCAGGTACAGTTTCTGTTAAACTGAAGTCCATAATGCAAAGATATTTATTTAAGTGGTCATGTAAGTTTTGTAGTCAAGTTAACTGAAAGAATCAGTGAATCTTCATTTATGATGTTCCTGCAAAGCTGTTTGGTAAGCACAGTGTGTATCGCAGTGCGCACAAGTACCTGTCATCCCATACTGCAGAGGGAATTTTCAAATGAAACTGAAATCAACTATCACAGTAAAAGAGGGCAAGAATAGGCTGAAGGCCCTTCACCTTTCACAAGCTTACCACTCTTCTACCTGTCCTACAAGGGACATTTAAAACCACATAGCTACTGATTACAGCTACAAGTGCAAACACACTCATTAGGAAACAACTGTATGAAACTAGAGCTAGGTAACAAAACACAAGCTTCTGCTCTCCAGTCCATGTATTAACAAAAGTGCATTTTTTACTCTTAGGTTTTAAAAGTCTTATTCCAGGACAATGAACAGTTTTATGCTACAGCAAGAAGCTGCTTTTAATCTTTAAAACTACTAGGATCATTGCTGTTAAGAAAAAAAGCCCACCAAAAAGACCCGCCAACCAACTTACTGACTACACTGATATCCACGAACTTCAGGCTTTGGCTGGTGTTTCTTTATGTGTTTACTGAGTCCTGATGCCCTGTGGAAAGATTTTCCACAGATGGAGCAAAGATACTTGGATTCTCCTGACAAAAACAAAACAGAACATGTTACAAAGCCAAGCCTCTGTATCCCTCAAATGCCCTGTGTTTTTATCTTCTCATATAATTTATCTTAAGTAATCAGAGCAGTGCTACAAAGAGAAGTTGGTTTAACTACATTCAGATGGAATTTTTAATGTATTTTGTATGTGCCAATGTAATAATACACAGAGTGGGGAGTAGCAACTCTAAATTACTTTATTGCATGTTTTTAAACACAGGTACAACATTGCAGCTACTAATTAGTCATGAAATGTAAACAGCCTAAAAAATTGCCCTCTTGTGTGAAAAAAAAAAGTCCAGTTGCCTGTGTTCATATAATATGCAACTATTCCAGCAATGCAGCATGGCTTATAGACGACTTACAATCTTGAATTTGTGGAACACCATCTTAAAATAAAAGTTTTCCATTCCAGTTCATCAATTTAGGAGTGCTGAGTACAAATATAAATCCCTTAATTTCTTGAACAAATTGGCTTAGCAGAAACAGTCTCTTACTTTTGATTCTGCCCAACTCGGGAAACAAGAAACACAGCCAATTTCCACACTTTATAATTTTAAAACTCTGCTTGTACTAAATCATTATGCTGTCATCTTTCACATGCTAGGATCTTTCAAGATATCAGGTTTTGTAAAATTTTGGTATTAGTACAGCAAGCCCTGTAAAATATATACGGAGATTCTCAGATTTAACTTAGCATGTTTTCCTCTGAAAGGATAGGCTAGAAGTGTAAGTGCTCCAGAACGTTCCAGCCTGTTGCCTATCTTTGTTGAATTGACATTATACAGGAATTAAATATGTACATAAAAACATAGGGACAGCACAACCATGATTCTCTGATCTTGTACAGAATATTTGCATAACATTAAACTATGGAAAAATAAGCTCAGAAAATAAATGTAAAATGACTGTTTACCTGTATCTCAGCTGCCTGACCAGTAGAAGAAAAAGGAGAAAATACTATTTATTAATTTTTTTAGACAGTTCCCTTGACACTAAAGAACAGTGTTAAAGTTCAGCAGCATACAACGGCCAACCATAGTTAAAGCATCCTCTTTCTCATCACTTACCTGTATGAATGCTCATGTGTTCCTGAAGACTTCTTTTTGTGACAAAAGACTTTTCACACAAGTCACACTTGAACTGTTTCTGTACTTCATGGAGAGCTAAGTGCATTTTTAATCCATGCTTATATGTAAAGGTCTTTCCACAAACCTAAAAAAACATCCAGATCCAGTGGAATAGGACAAAAAGCTTCATTATCTAATAGGTGTTTAACTTCAAAGACAACAAAACCTCCTATACTTCCTGGGAACCAGGACGGCCAAGCCTGTGATTTTGCACCAGTGCCAGAACTGGTCCGTTAAAAAAAGAGTATTCAAGGTAAGACATTCTCCTAGACACAGGAATATGAACATTCATGATTCAATTTCATCCTAGTTTTCTCAGTCTTGGACTACAAGAATTTTCATCAGGAACGTTACAGTAGTTTTCCCTATTCTGAAGTGACCTAAATTAACCTAAATTTTAGGACAGAGTATCAATACTAAAATATCAAGAAAGCATTACTAATTTGATTACAGAGTAAAAGGACTTTCTCTTTACCTTGCACGCATGTGGTTTTACACCTGTATGTTTGAGCATATGTATTCTGAGAGAATAGAGCTTAGGTAGAGTTCTCCCACATATATCACATACAAATTCCCGTTTGGTTCTCCCTTTCACTGAAGACACGCCTGTCTCTTCTACACTAGCAGCTGCAGTGCTCACTTCAGTCTTCCGAGTGTGCCGGACAAGATGGGCGCGCAGGGAGGCACCATACTGGAATTCTTTTTTACACAACTGAGAAAAAAATACATTACAACTTTACTCTGCATTTAATACTCCAAAATTATTAAAACGACAACAACAACAACAAAAAAAAAAAAAAAAAAAAAAGATAATAAAAGATAAGCATAGTAATATGATTTGCTAGGTCTATAGCCTGACTCCAACAAGCATTTCATCTCAGGTTAATTAGTAGTTGTAAATTTTGAATTTTATGGCTACCGATAGAACCACTGATCACTTCCCAGTGAAGCTAACTTCCAGGCTAATCTAAACACAGTTGCAAATTTACTGGTAAAGTTAAAAGTAAGGCCTACTCCGGCACTCTCGAGCAGCTAGGGCACTCCGTGGCACATGGTGCTGTCAGGCTATGTGACTGCACCACTTTCCACCCCACTCCATCCAGAGCAGAGCTGCAGCCATCTCTAAAATCCGTAAGGTAAATTAATACACGTACAAACAGAGGCAAGAAAAATAATTACTAATGTCATTAGTGAATGAATGTTCATAAAGAAGAAGGCTTACAGAAAAAAAAACACACACACACAAAAAAAAAGAAAACAAACTTACTGGGCATTTATAATCTTTAGATCTTTCATGTTTTAGTGTGTGCATTATAAGTGCATAGCGTCGCTGGAACATCATTCCACACTCAGTGCATTTGTGCTGGTCTTCTACTTCATTATTTTCCATGATGTCTCTTTTGGGCTGTTTAATTTTTTTCCCTCTTTGTACCAGCTTCATGGCAACCTAAGTTGAAAAAACATAACCTACAAATGAACTTTACTACACCGTATTTTATATTTCCTCTGCAAGTTAGTACCAAAAGCTGATGTTTCTGTGTGTTACTACAATACCATCAAATTTTGCTCAGTTTACTTAGTTACCCCTTTCAGTTCACTGCAAAACTACAGATCTCATGGTGGGTGAAAAATTGATCTTGTTTTAAAACCATAAACTGATTATAGACAGACAATGAATTACCAGTTCAGAGACAACTAACTATTCAGCCCTGAGTAACTGCCTAGGTAAGAGCTAAGGGATAATTACAGAGGAACCACAAAGTACTGATAGTCACATTTTCTATCAAATATTTCCAACCCTTTCCTAAACTCCAACTTTCCTTTCCAGGACTTACATTTGCTTTACTATAAGCGTCATCAGATGGAAAAAAAAAAAAAAAAAAAAAAAGTGGCCTAATTAATTTTTACCAGTCAGCAAAAATTGAGCTATTAATAACCTGTAAAAAATTACAGTACTTAAGCAAAGTTCTTTCTAGTTAAAAGCATTCCAGCTTTACTAGTGTTTTTTTCTATTCAGGCACTAGCATTCTTTTGTTAGGCAGCATTGGCAGCGCTACCTGGATCTGATAATCTCATTTTCATTTGTAGAAACTTGCTGTCAAATTCTTCAGAAGCAAAATTGTGAGCAGGCTGAAATTTGTTGAATCAGGTACCTCCCCTTCAGGTTTCTGAGAACAGGGCAATGGAAAAAAGCATAATGCAACCCCCCTTTCTTCCTCTTGTTCTCTCAACAAGTGAGGCATGTAACAGTTTTTGAAAATATGCTATCACTTCCATGTGTCTCAAAATCAAACTAACTCAACACAGGGACATTTCCTTTTTTTTTTTTTTTTTTCCTTATAATTTTGCTGTTGGTCTGAAAATGTATGTAAACTTGGCTAAATTGTGAAGCCACAAAAATAGTTCAGTAGATGATTAGTAAAAGCTTGGAGAATAATCCATTTATACAAAGCATGCTTCATCCCCAACATCTCCATGCCAATTGCAATTATGGTAATTCAAAAGTCAGCAGCATTCTTCCTGCAACCTCTCTCTCTCCTCTTACTCTTCCAGCATCAAAACTGGAAACTGAGGAAGGAGTGTCTCCTTCCCAATGCTCACATGGCATCCAGTGCCATGGAGGGGCAGGGGGGTAGCTGAGGGATGCAGGAGACAAAAAAGCTAAAAGCTATGAAATGAGTTAGGAAAACAGAAACCTACTCCTAAAACCAATTCTGATAAATTGTTTAAACCCACTTCTGTTTTCCATAGATGGCTGCTGTCTGCAGACCTTATCTTGTCACGGGGCCAGATTTAAAAACTGCAAAATAAGTTAACAGGAGCTGTTCCCAAAGGTACCTATTGCCCCTCCCAAAACAGAACAGAAACTTGTCATTCTCCACCCATCATAAACAGCTTGCTCAAACATTCTGACTGTGCTAGTTTTCACATCTGGGCTTTAAGTTGTCCATCTGTAAAAGGAGACTAATGCTAAAATTTCTATCTACGAGGGTGCTGTGATATCCCCCTGTGTGGGACTGGTGGCTGTGGTAGGTAAATGTCTCACAGAACACCTCTGAAAATTAACAGTTCTGCATAAGTCAGCCAACGTGGAATGAGTAAGGCAAAGTGTACTCTGTCACAAAAATTAATGTATTGATGCTCAGTGAGGTGAATGTCAGGTCTCCATAGGCACTAAAAGAGGAAAGGCTCCTGAAGGGGAAAGAGTAAGAGCTTTTCATTAAAAAAAAAAGATAATAATTGAAACAACTAGTTCAATTACTAAACATTTAATATGTCTGAGTGCTAGCATTTTTAATACCAGTACTCTTGGAACCTTTTTTTTAAAAAAAAACCTGATCCCAGTCTGAAGGTAGCAGGACTGCATTATTGTAACTTATGACTCTGTCTTAAGATCTGCATAGAATGTCAAATTTTTCATCCCCAGTTCTCTGTTTTCAAGTCTTAACAAATGTAGGGTCTCACTTCTCTGACAAATAAATACATTTGTCTATGACTGACATACACACAAGCTAGTTAAGAATTAAATTCTCAGATCATGAATAATTTTAGGGAGAAGATACACCTTCTGTCCAACCATAAGAAGCTGTGAGAAGATACTCAAGCTGGACTACGGTCACTGAGCATTCTAAAGATATTCAATATGGAAGAAATTTTGATGCCAATGTTTTCTGGGGTTTTTTTTGCACAACTGTCACATCTCAGAAGTTACTTCAGTTTGCAGTCGTGTTAATCACTCAGAAAATGAAAACATTTTCCAGACAGTGCTTGGAATTGGGAAACAGTCTTTTCAGATTGGTCTCGAAACACTGGACGATTACTGACAACAGGCCTAAATATAGATAGAATACCTGTTGTACTGCAGACTTAGGATTTGTCTTTCTATTTTGCAGGGTTTTTTCAGTTCCTTTATGCAATCTGATATAACCCCCTTCACTAACAGAACGCTGACGAAGCTTGCTTTTGTAAGTATCATCCTGGCTGGAACCTAGGCTTTCAGGTTGTGAAACTGAAATGCTCTGTTCTTTACTTTGCCCGCCACATTTTTGCTTAAGTGTTTCTGAGGAGTCTTCAGAAGCAGTGTCCACATTCGCTTCACCACTTTCATCTTGATCTGTCCTAATTTCCATTTGACTTTGTGTGACCATAGCTTCCACAGCTGATGGCTCAGCCTCTACGACAGACACAGTGCTATTTGAAACACTCTCCAGCAGCTGCGTCTTGACATAATTTTCTATTGTTTCACACTGCTCCACAGGCTTCAAAAGATCGTCCGGAGCGGCCTCCGTAGGCTCTGGGGGCTGGAGGTCAGGCTGGGGTGCTGCTGCGGAGGAAGGAGCTCCATTCACAGCTGCTGGCACTTTACTGGCTGCCAGCTCTGGCTGCTCAGCACCGTTCACGGGCTGCATCTCAACTTCAGTCTGCTCTGCTAAATTTTGTGCCGACTCTACTGTTTGAATATCTCCCTTTTGGTACACCGTAATTTGTTTCTCTTCCATCTGTTTGTGCACGTTTTCACAGATTTCGAGGACCTCTGACATGAAGAGATGCCGGGCAAGCATGGCCACTTCTGCCATACTACAGAAGTCAAAAGTTAACTCTGAAGTATAAGCAAATTCCAGTAGAGGCAGGAAACTGGACTTGCAGAACCCTATCAGGAATAAAACAAGAGATTAGAGAAAACACTGATGACCCTGAATTACACCAAAATATCCCATGATGGACACAACAGTTCACCTCTGGTATAGTTAAGTCTGAAATTTAGAGTGAAATGCACTTGCAGATAACACTGAAGCCCCTCCACTGGGACTTAATTGTCATTTATGCAAAAGCATCCTCCTTGTGTATTTTCTATGTGGAAGCAGGCTCAGACAACTTTTCCAATAATTAAGTAGAATTGAGGTAGTTTCACAATAAAATTCACTAGAAGAATGTTTTGAGATAGTGGGCGAGTCACGATATTTTTGAAGCAGATGGACCCTAATTTAATCAGTCTTTCTGGACTTGCTACATTCAGAAAGTAGTCAGGATTTAAGTAGCAACTGATGTGGCAGAAATATAATACAAGAAAGTGGATAATGAAAAAAAAAGAACAACAAAACAAAACAACAACAACCACCTGATATTGATATATAGATAGAAATGCTTAAAAGTAAGCATGTGGCGTAATTTTCCACAGTTCTGTAAATCATAATTAAAATAACTATTTTGAGGGGCCTTCTACACCATCATACTGGAAATCTGTTGCTCATTCAGAGACAAACACAGTTAAGAAACTAATGAGACAGCAACACAGTAGGTGTATGTTCTGTACAGTATTCTTCATCACTACAAAGCTATTTTTAGAACGTTTATTTTAGGATCATCTCCTATCTTTAAGGTACCAGAAGGTTTGAGAAATAATCAGAAACATGTATAACAGTGTTTCCCACACATAAGAAACAATTTAGCAATTGTTCAGCTAAAGAGCTGAGAAGCTAGTTAACATCCCCTCTTGAAGTATTCAAGCATTTGATTATGATCCCTTTTTTAATGTTTCTGACTAATACAAGGAGAAAACAGGCCTAATCAAAGTAAAAATCAATCCGAGGCTTCTCAGAAATTTTAAGATGAAATCCCATCGTCCATTCAATATGGAAGATGAGATTATGCAAAACCAAAGCGATCACTTTAGCATTAAAATCCACACGAAACACTTTAAGATTAAAAGAGAGAAAAAAAGCAAGATAAAATATTTAGTTGCCTTGAACACTCAAAAAAGACTGAATTAAATACTGTACACCTTAATTAGGATATTATGATTTCTAGCTTTGAAACCCACAACAATTCACCTGACAGATCCACTACAGCTTCATGACTAGAGACAGCTCCCTTTTCAATGAAGAGCTCTCGGAAGTACTCGCTGTTGGCTGCCAAGACAGATTTGTGAGCTTTGTACTCCTCTCCTTCAATCAGCAGAGTCACATCACAGAACTGATTGGAAAGCCTCTGCTGATTCAGTTGGTTTAAGACTGACAGACAATGTTTGGAAGATGACTGCTTCACAAGGCCCTTACTGTCAACCTGTCATAAACAACATTATGAGAACTTCATTACATTTAAGACTGTGCCTTTTTAAGCATTCACGCTGAAACACAGAAAAAGATTATTTTCTGCAACCGTACAATCAGTTCAAGCCTGTATAATATAGAGCTTAACTTTACTATTGTTTTCTTTCTTTAAATGCATCCAGTTTCACCCTCCCTCCAAACACAGTTAAAACAAACAACTGGAAAAATGGGAAGACATGGACATTCAAGCAGTTCTTTGACTGTATTTTTCAATGCTACTGTCCGAAACAGTTTCTTGATTCAAAAGTATTTACATGCATCTGAGGCCCCATTTATCAACAAGAACTTTACATATAAATATAGCTTCATTTATTAAGTATTCCATGAGACTCTTGTATGTGATACTTTACTACTTATACTTTCACCATTCATTAATTTTTCCCTTGAGTCCCATAGGCATAAACAGGAGTCGGGGTGATTTTATTTTCCACAGATGACGTACTAGAATTAACGTCATGTCATATACACCAGCAACCCGTTTCCACGTATTGTGTATCTCTGGCAAAATTTATATCATTTTATTATTACACAAATATCGTAACAATGGAAAAGAAGTACGTGACTAATACTTTAACAAACATCTTAAATACATTCAGAGGTAAACAATGGTACTTACAAATACAAGCTCGTGCTTTGCTACGGGCTTCTTCACAGGCTTTGGGGTTGCAGCTGGGATTGGCGCTGTATTACTCAATTCATCATCTGTTTCATTACTGTCTTCATGAGATTTTACATCCAGTCCTAGTTCCTCCAGTATTTCAGAAGGATCTGACAGAGATCTAGAGCGGTCTAGCTTTTCCTGGCACTTGCTGCATTCTTTAATGTAATCTTTAACCTGTTTAAGAATACCTAAGAAAAAATAATGGAGCTTAATTAGGCTTCTGATTTTAATTCAATTTACCTTAAACACGTAATCAAATATGTAGGCGATCAGTGAAACAGTATTGCACACTTACTTTTTTAAGTAAAAAGTCAGTCACCTACACTTTCCTTCTCTGACTTTTTTACCAGTTCTGCTTCCCTCACACCCCTGTATGATATCGTATGCCACTACTGCAATCCACTGTTAATTTGAGGTAGCCCTTTTAGAACATCGCTATATCAAGCCAACCCTCCTAGAAAGATTTTTAAGGCTAGAAAAAATATTTGTATTTATACATTCACCCTAAGGAGCCCAAGGCAATGAAAGCTATTACCTAATCCTGCATTTAGCCCACACAAGCACATTTCAGCTTGTCTGTACTGAAGGGGACGAGAACTGGAAGGCTCACCTAAGGGCTTTTGCAAAATTGGGACCAATCGTGTTATAGGCAATAACACTGATATGCATCATTAACACCAATTTAAAGCAATTGCTTATGATTTGGGGACTTAAAGAAATTGATTTCCCACCAGGACTTCAACTGGTGTAACTCAATAATTTCAGATACTCAATAGTTCCCAAGCTCAGGGTCCTCTTCTAAGTACCAAGGCATTTTCAGTGTATGGCTTTCAACCCAAATTCATTTTCTTCACTAGGACAATATGAAAGCATACATAACAACAGATGTGTCTCTGTAGTTCAAAATCTAGCACAGCTCACAAACTTGGCTGACATTAAGAGTTAGACTTGCACTGGTCACACCTTTTCAGAACACGAGACGCACTACCATTACATGCCTATCTCTGTAAGGTTCACGAAAACATAGACTTCAGGCAACCCAGGACATTCCAACCCAAGATTTTCAGGCCCATTTCCAATCTCTTTGTTTCCTTGATTTCATTTGTCTAGTTCTCAGGACAGAAGGTTTCTGGTCTTTAGACTCCATATCTAACACCCTTCCTGGCCACTGGGGCACACCACAGCCCATTGCCTCCCAGTTACAGAGCTGACAGACACAACAGACTGGCACCCATCTCAGGAAGATGACCAGGTCAAAGCTGCTGTCCACCAGCAGCAGAAGAGTCTTATAATGTCAGAGGAAACCAATGTTTTCAAGGAGACACAGATAAGAAAGAAAATGCTTGAATGGAAAGCAAGGCATGCATTTCAGTATTCTCAGTGCAAAAGAAGTAAGAGAATATAGGTCGTAGAAATAAAGGCAACCAATAAGATTAAAAGATGCAGAATACAGAACGTGTTCCTCCGACAAACAGAAGGTGTACTGATGCCCCTTAAGGAAGTTTCCAGCATAGGATGACAGTGGCTGCCAGAAGAGTCCAATATTTGGCAGATGATGAGAACCCAGATAAAGGCAAGATGACTGTCATCCAGAACACACGTATCAACTTCCAAATCCGTCTTCACATCAAAGATCTTCATTCAAGTCTATGAAATCTGGACAGGAAGGATGGGCTGCAGCTTGAGCAAAAGGCCTCCAAACCAAGACAGTGAAAACTAAAGCTGAAATGACCAATGTGCTGACTGATGGACCAAAACAGCAGAACGGGAGAAGCAGTACAAATAGAAACTGGGCCCTGGGCAACCAGAAAGCAGGATATTTGTTCAGTGGATACATATGACTAAAAGTAGAGTGCCAAATCCAAAGGGAATACAGATACTGAGTCACTGGCTCAGCCAAAAGGCTGGGAATTATTTCTGTTCATACACTACACAATTCCTAACAGCCGTGACACCCCTCGGGACCCAGCCGAGAATGAATTCGGTCTTTCTGGCTTCTCATGGGAAGAGAGAGAGACAACTATCACAGCGAGCGCACGGACCACTACTGGCAGCTCTACAATTTAAACGTGCCCGCCGCCCACGCGCGGGCTGGAAAAGGTGCGGCGAGGTCACAGAGCAGAGCGGCGCCCTGTACCCACCGCAGCCGAGAAACCGCGACCTCCCGCGGGGCCACAGGCAACGCTCGGATGGCGACGGCAGTTTTCCGCGTCTTTAAAGCGCCGCAGGGGCTGTAACCCCCACCCAGGATGTCCCCCCCCCCCCCAATACCATCCCCCCCATTCCCCCCCCCCCCCCCCGCCGGGGCTCACCTCGCCACCAGTACTTCTGCGAGAGCCCCTGCCAGGTCTGCAGGCGGGTGCGGTGGGCGCCATCGGGCGCCAGGTGGGCGGCGCGGATGAGGCGTACGCGGCGCTCGGCCTGCAGCACCACCTCCAGCTCGGCGAAGCGCGGCTGGTCCCGCTGCCGCCGCTGGTAGTAGAGGGTGCCGCCGCGCACCACGTAGCAGGCGGCCGCCTTGCGGATCTTCCGCTTGGCGTTGCCTTCCGTCCCCGGCGCGTAGGGCTCCCGCTCGTTGGTCAGGTAGCGCAGGATGGCCAGGTAGCTCTCCTCGCTGGACATGGCCGGGCGGCGGGAGGAGGAGGAGGAGGAGGAGGAGGAAAGGGATGAAGGGCGGCCTCCGCGCTGCTCCGCCTCCCGTCCTCACCGGCGGGCAAGGGCGCGCCGCTCTCGGAGGGCCAGAGGCTCACGCCGCCGGGGCCGCGTCTCCACGAGGGTCCGGGCCCGTCGGGGGAGAGGCGCCCCGGCCCTGGCCGGGGGGTTCCGTGGGGCTGCGGAGGCGCCTCGCGGGGCGGGGAGGGCATGCGCTGCCGGGGGAAGGAAGGCGGGGGGGTGGGGGGGGGGGGCTCCCGCGGCGCCGCCGGTCCCCTCGCCCGGGCGCGGAGAGGGCGGGCGGCGGGAGCCGGGCCGGGGGGGGGGAACTGGAGTTTCGCGGCCAGCGGCGGCGGGTGGGAGGCAGAAGCTCGGGCAGCAGCAGCAACGGAAAGGCAAAATGGCTGCTGCACAAGAGGAAGTGAGGTCAGAAGGCCGCGCGCGTGGGAAGGGGGCGGGGAAGGGGCGTGTGTTCGCGGAAGGCGCAGCTCGCAGTAGGGGGGGGGGAACGGGGCCGCCATCTTGGAACCGGGCAAAGGAGGGAGCCGGGCGGAAGGCGAGGGGCGGCCATCTTAGAGCCGGGCAAAGCCCGCGGGGACGGGCAAGGCCACGGAGCTGTGGGCCGGGGACGCTCCGAAATAAATACCTCGACAGCCCCAGCTCCGAAACGAGCAGCCCCCCGCTCCAAAATTGCCCCGGGAAGAGGAGCTACGAGAAAACTAGGAGCGTGATGCCACGTTGCGGTGTGAGCATACCTACCAGGAGCGGCACAACTGGCGACAGCCGCACCAGGGCCGGCAGCGGGGCGCGGCCGCTACCTCTCCTCTCCTCGAGCGCGCTCCTTTTTATTCGTAAAAGGAAAGAAGGAAAACATTGTGAACGTCAGCTGCTGGTTTTCCTTGTCTGAGATTTGACCTGATGTTGTTTTACACCCTTAACAGAGAGATGAAACGCGGGAGCCGCAGGATGCCCGTGCCCAGCAGTGACCGACCCTTCCCCTGTGCTTCGTACTTGCAAGACGGCATCTGGAGTACTGTGATCCCCCCAAACCCAAAGATACTGGCTGAACGGAGCGAGTCTGGCCAAAGGTGGTCAGGGATCAGAGAACGAGGGAGGAGGCGAGGCCGAGGGCTGGGTGTTTTTCAGCCTTGGAAAGGGAAGGCTTTGTGAGAACCCTGCTGCTGTCCACAGCTACCTCACCTGAGGACACAGAGATGGAGGCAAACTCTCGTCAGAGTTGCATAGCAGTAGGCGACAGGCACAGGTTAGAACACAGGAAATTCTAGTTATATATACAAGGATTTTTTAGATTTTTTTTTTTTTTTTTTAAACCCTGGTGGTGGTCAAATTACTGGATCAGGTTGCCCCAAGAAGTCGTGGAACCTCTGTCTTTGGAGTTGTAAGACTCAGCTAGATACTTGGCTGAGCAAACTGATGTAAATGGACATGCTTTGAGGAAGGGGTTGGACTAGACCTCTGGAGGTCCTTTTCAACCTAAACTCTTTTGTGGGTATATGAAACATCTAAGTATTCAAGTTTTCATGATAAATATTTAATAGAGGACCAAATATGTTGCATTAGGTAAACACAAGGACTGGTTTATTAATTTGTATTAATTCATGGCATTATATTTACGTTTGAGTTGAATTATGTACAGTTAGCACCCTGAACAGCCTGCCTCACTCACTTGAAGGGTAGTTTGGGAGAGGAGTAACCTGATGGACTTTTACTCATAAAGCAAAGAAGTATAATCTTAAAGCATTTCTGTGCACCTCTGCAGTAGCACCAGGCAGCCAAAGCCTGCTAACTTCATTAACAAATTCTGTCTTAGTCATATCTGACAATGAATTCCTAGATACCATTAACAGTATTTCAAGCAGATCGTGAAAGCTCACCTTCACTTTCAGCGTTTTAGCTGGAAACTCTCATAGGCATCTTTACAGTGTACCAGGTGCTTTATACAGGACACTAATATAATCAGCATTTTATTTAGTTGTCACTAGCATAGGTGACTTTCAGTGGTGTTTTCAGCCTCCAGTTTTAGATTAAAAATTCCTTTCCCTATAAGAAGCAGTCTTCCTTCCCCTCATTCCCCCTCCAGTTTCTCACTCCCTCACTTTCAAATGTTAACCAGTTTAAAAGCCTTCAATTTAATTCTCAACATGCGTAACTCCTACACTTTTTTTTTTTTTAAATAGCAAAAATCGTAATTGTTTGGAAAGATAATTGTGCAAATTCCACTAACATAATCAAGCTAGACCTGTTTTACATGGGTTGCAACCTTCATCCAGATCCCTGTTTCATTAATAAACCCAAAGTAAAGTATGGTATCACTCAAAATATAACCCATAACCCAAAGTGCCCATTACAGCCCGTGTGTTTTTGAAGCCCAAAGAACTGAAGGAAACAAAACTATGAAGAGACAGCTGCTTTCTTGACTAGTGTAGTAAGTTAACAAAGCAATCCCTCAAAGGTAACAGGCGCTAAGATGTGGCATCAATAAACTGAGAAGTAGCCAATCCAGGAAATGGAGGATGTTCATTTTCTCCTATGCTTCTACGAAGTTAGAGGACATTGCTTTGCCAAGGCTATTACTGGCCATCAAAACTATAGCCGCGTTTGGACACACTGTCTATGCAGTACAATCATTGGACAGATACATACTTCACATAAAGAATTTAACAAATGGCCACTCCCTCTAAGGGTGGGAGGGTAGGGAATTACTAAGGGAACCCCTATCTGCATTCTGGAATATGAACCAAAATGGGCTTGAAGTGTGTACTGTCAGGGGCATCTGAAGCTCATTCAGCTTCCAGAGCCATCCTTTTCCTGATGACAGCTTCCAGCAGTCCATCATCGTTACTTCCCGACACAGGAGTTGCATTTGAACCTTTGTGTATAACAGCCCTGTGGTCTGTGAAACCATCCACCCCCTTTTCCGTCTATGCTTCCTTTGATCCTCTACATCTTGCTACGTGTTCCACCACACAAGTAGTGCATTAGACTTTTTAAGTCACTTACACACACTACTGCTTCATACCCTCTCTAAGTTTGCATCTCTGAGCTTAGAAACCTCTTCTAATGCCATTTGTTGTAGATGTAGAAAAACCTGTACTCATGTGCTGTTTTATCTTTCAGGCAGGAACAGCTTCTCAAATACCAGCTCCATCTTCCCTGCCACCCGAGTCATTCACTGAAGACTTATGGAATGTATGCTAATACAGCAGATTGTCTAAGAAACCAAGTGGTTTATGGCAAGATGATGTTTTTCAGTCTGCAAAACCAGACATGGTTATTTCACAGATTGATCCTCTTCAGTATATCTCACATAGTTGAAGATGACATGGCACAAGTTATCAAAGTTAGTCAGATGTTTATTCAGCTTGACTAACAGTTTGACAAGTTAGCGCTTTCCACCAACACGGGGAGCAGAAACCTTGACTGGTTTCACAATCTTCTGCTTAGGTGCTGCCTTTGTAGGAGCCTGCAGAGAAATAACAAAGTATGAGCAAAGAGAAGCAAGTTATCTGTGGTCCCGAAAGTGTCACTGTGTATTTAATATTCTTGATAGAAATTAGGGAATTTATGTTATATCGGATGAGAATTATAATAAAATTACAATCTATCAGATCAGAATAATGTTAACGGATGGTTACACAGATACCACTGGAGATCTACAACATGTATGATGTCAACATATGGTATTAATTCGTAAGTAATAATGACATACATGCTAGCACTCATCGATACATTGTTACCAAGTTCCTAGATAGTGAAGATGTTACATCCAAATTTTTATTAATCAAGAACCTCTGACATATGGTCAGAAAGCTCTTTCACTATAGCGTTTATCCCTTCTGTAAAAAAGGTTCATTCTATTCAGCTGTTTGGGTATGTTTAACTTTAGTACAAAAGTTTGGTCAGGGTCAAAACAGAAAAGCAAATGCTTCTTCCAAACACAAACGGGAATTTCCAAGTAAGTGCTGCAACAGTATGTTGTGTTACAACATGGTATGTTCCATTTCAGTATTTCTATCCACCTACTGCATCTTACCTTTGCAGCAGAAACAGCCGTTTTCTTGGTTGCCTGCTTAGCCTTCTTGGCTTCTTTTGCAGCCCTGTTAATTCACATAAAAAGTGTTATCCATGTCTGCCATTCACTGTTTCTTTGCCTCAGCATTTTAAGAACTCCCTAAGATCAAAGGAATACATTATTTCAGATGTATCCTCTGCATTCAGTACCCTCCAGGGAGACTATATTTTCACAAAGGGAGAGGGCAAGAAGAGACCCTTCTCTGCTGCTATTATCTCATACTGACATTCCTCAGTATTACCTCCAAATATACTCATAAAAAAAAAAAAAAAAAAAAAAAACAAACAGAAAACCAAACCCCCCCCCCCCCAAAAAAAGCTTGTAACACATCTAGAATTTAAGCTCTTGTGTGAAAAGCATTAACAATGTTTGAAAAGCTTGGGATAGCTCCACTTATCTCCAATTTCGCACCTAATAGCCTGTTCCCTCTGCGCCTTTCGTACTTCAGGCTTCTGATTTCGTTTAGCCATAATCTCAGCTAAAGATGCGCCAGTGATAGCTCTCTGAAACTTAACAGCACGACGTGTGCGCTTCTTTTGTATCTCTTCCTAAAATGGCAGAAAATGAAGACAGACAATTAGTATCACAAAACACTAAATAAAAGGCTAAAGGGAATTACAGAAACAAGCTGCTATTAAGATTGAAGCTATTATAAAACTCTATACAGAAGTGGAATTTTACCTTTCACTTTGGAGATAACCAGCATCTTGATTTGCCAAAGCAGATTAATAGCCAAGAAAGGCCAATGTATTCTCCTATCCAAGGTATAAGAAAAAAGTCTTTTGGAAGAATGTCAGCAGCTCAGCTTTCTGTAACTTCCCGGGAAAAAAAAGGGGGGAGGGATAAAGTCCACTTTGATGGAATCCTCTGACAGGAAGACCCTTCCCACCTGTTTAAAGTGGGAGCACAGTGCTGGGCAGCAGTGTAAGCCATGGAGCATTGACTTTCCTTCTCCGAACAAACTGGTAAAAACATTGACTTACAATACACATGCAAGCCTTTCAAAATACTCTTTTGCTGGGCAAGTCTAAACAACAGCAGTGAAAATACCTCATGATACATGTCTTATTACTTTTTTCATGCAATGACAACTATGTAGGAAAGACCTCCTACCAAGTTACAGCCCAAAGCTTTCAAGTTCCCTCACCCTTTAACACCCAAATCAGCTCTCTGTGCTATCACCATTCAGGAAGTTTACAAGTCCAAACTTAATAGAAAGTCTGCATGTTAAACAGCATTACCCACTTCCTCTAAAATTAGTTTTTTAAAACATATGCCATTCATATAGTCGCTGAAATCTACTGAACCTACTGTGATTCTGAGGGGTCCCTCAAATAAGTGATACAATATAAATACAATGCTTTTGCTGAACTGGTTAACTTTCAAGCATAAAGCAGCATATAAACTCACGTAAATGCGCTCACATTTTCAGCATTACTAGCCAGTCTTCATCCTAGTTATAAGGATTGTGCTTCTGCTGAACACCAGCACGCTGAAGTTACCTCTATTCTAACAGACCAGTGACCACATCTTTCAGTAGAAAACTCTGGAGTGCCATAAGCTGGTATATACTTACTGACTGTCCTTTCTTGTGTTTCCGCCTATAAAGAACAGTCCAGTTGATTTGACGGGGGTTTCTCTTGGAAAGGAATGCAGACTCACATTTTGCATTCAAGAACTGAAAAACCTAGGAAAGTAAAGTATTTTGTGTAAGCTTTGTTTCCATGAAGGACATTACCACAGTTTAGGTTAACACATCAAGTAATTCTTTGATTCAGTGTTTTCAACAGTGATGCTTTTGTGTTTTTTCACACAGCTCTGACAATTAAACATTTAAAAAGATAGATTAAAAAAATTTTAAGTTTGCAATTTTGTTCCACTGATCAAACTGATCTCTTACGAGGCACTCTGAAGCAGCTTAATTTTTCTGAGGAAGGCTCGAATTACCGCTTGCATCCACTGCTGCATGTACTCTAGGCACAGCATGAAGAGCCACAGCCAGCATCCCACTTTTCAAGTCTCTGTCCTCAAGTAACTATGCACTGACTTCCTCTATGTGTAAGGGGGTCAAAGCTTGGCCTAAGGAACACACAGAGACCAATACTCTGCCCAATTCCTTCTTGCATCGTTACACTAACCTTCCTGCCTAGAATAACAAGCAGAATTAGCAAGCTGATTTGTTACTAGCTATACAATTCCATTTAAAATGTAAACTCCATCTCAGGAGAGCACCTGAGGATTCAGTCAGTCTGTTTACTTAGCTGTCATTTCCCAGGAGATTTGGTACAGCAAGATGACCGTACTGGGATACCCAAACCCCCAACCCCTTCCTTTGTAGATACAAATAGCGTATTTCTGTTTATCATAGTCCCATCCGTATGGAATATGAGAGCCTGAAAGGGCTCTCCTCCTTATTTTATCCAAATGATCCGTACCCAACCTGTCTCCAAGTCCAGTTGTTTGCTTCAAGAAGCCTCAGCATTAGCTGCAGTATGTCTCAGCAGCACTTTCTACGGCACGTTGGCAGGTCAGACCAGGTGCTTTTAGACACCCTTCCTACACCACAGCCCAAACCCCGGCTCAGAATCCCAAGCCGCGGCACGAGCAGGCTGTCCCGCGGCTAGTTACGACACCGGGACACCGGCGGGGGCAGAGCGATGCTCCTCCTCTCACACCGCTCCATCCCGAGCGGCTCTGGGCAGAGGCTTCAGCGACGCCGCCAGAGGCCCCGGCCGGCACCGAACCCTCCCAGGGCGAGGCCTCGGCTTCCCCCGGCACCACGCCGGCCCCTCTCTCAGGCCTACCGCCCCCCCTCCTCGGCAGGACCCGCTCCCCCGCCCCACAGCGCCCGGCACCGCGCCTGCAGCCCCCCCCACGCCCCCCGGCCTCACCTTGCCGTCGGTGCGGGCGTAGCGGCGGCCATGGCCCGGGTAGATCTTGTACCCGCTGAAGCTGCACAGCTCGACCCTGCGCGGGAGAGAAGGGTTAGAGGGGAGCGCGGGTACGGGGCAGAGGCAGGAGCGGCGCCCCCCCTCACCCCGCCGGGGCGGATGGCCCCGGATGGGGCGGCGGTGGGGAACCGCCGCCGCGGCTCTTACTTCATGATGGCGGCAGCTGCGAGGCGGAAGGGAGGAAGGGAGGAGGACGGGAGGCGGTGTGGCGCGCGCCGCGCGCAGCACGCCGGGACGGCTCGGCTCGCGCAAGGCCTGGCGGGAGCGGGTGAGCAGCGCCGCGCCTCCCCGGTCGGAGAAGGGGCGGGGGGGGGGTCACTCTGCGGCAGCGTTCGCACCGCCCGGGCCTAGCCGCTCTGCGGTTAAAATCCCGCCGGGCGGCCCCGCGCACGGGATCTTTCGTCCCGCCGAGAATAAAAGACGCGGTTTTGCCGGCGCGGAGCGGAGCAGCCGGTCGGCGCCCGGTTGTTGCCTGGCGGCGACGGGGAGCGGGAAGCATGGCGGCGACAGAGTTTGCGGGCAGAACTGAGGCTGTCCCGCCGGCTGGAGGAGGTACGGGGGAAGCACCGGGGACTGCGCGGCCGGGTTGCGGGCGCTGGGGGCCGGGCGGGCGGGGGTTTATCTGGGGTCTCCGTTTTGTGCCGCGGGCGGAGGGGTGGGGGCGCGCGGCGCCCGCTGGGAGAGGTAGTGCCGCGAGGGCCGTGCGCCCTGCGCCGGCGCGGGGTTCGGACTACAAGTCCCGAAAGCCCCCGCGGCCCTCGGGGGAGCTGTGGCGGTGTGGGGGGGCGGGAACTTGCCCCCTCTTTGGGGCGTGAGGGGACAGCTTGGCTGCTCTCTGCTTCCCTCTCCGCGCTTCTTCCCGTGTTCGGCCGGCGCCGGTGGTCCCCAAGGGGGGCTGGACGCGGTCAGGACGACGCGGGGCGAGGGTGCAGTTTCTTGCTTCCTGAATCTGTCTGAAAGGACCTATGCCTTATCATAACGCACGTCTGGCATTAAGGGCTCAGCGAGTGAGCAGAGGCCGGAGTAAAAATTGTGAGCTTCTGAGGTACATAGCTGCCAAACGAGTAATAGGTAATTCTGGAATGTCTTCTTGGGTATTTGAGAGCATGTTAGGAAAATCTCATTCGCAAAGTATTATACCAATGAGTCTTTACAGCATTAAGTCTATTAACTTTCTTAAGAGATGTATGTATGTATACTGAATAGTCATGCTTAAGCAAGCATCACCAGCTTATGAGGAAGAAAGACCCACTTGAAATAGGGACCTTTACTTCTCTAAATCTTAAAGCTGCCCACAAAGGGTACAGGATGCGTCCAGACAACTGAGATAGCACCAGCATCCTGGCTTCTCTAACACCTCTGTGAAACCTTCCCATTGTCTGGCATCATAGATAAGTAACTATAGCAAGACTGACTCCAGTGATGTTTAGGTCAGTAGAGAAGCAGGTGGATGATGATGCCATAAAAATACAGTTTCTTTGTAAATTGTAGCATATGTGTGTGTGTTAAGTAATGATTAGTCAAACCACGTTGTAGCTGAGCACTTGAAAGGTATAAAGAGCCATGTGTAAAACCACATTCCGGGTGCCCCAGTTTGAATGGTACACTTCATGTGCATGAATAAAAGTATTACTCTTGTAATTCCATACTGTGGGCCCTAGCCTCTCTCTCCTTGGTCAGCATGGGCCAGTTGTGAATTTTTGTAACAAGCCCGTGAATAAATGGGTAGATGCAAAATTTCTCTGTTAAAGTGACCAAGTGGTTGCAGAGACAGCTACTTAAGGGAGAAACATGCAGTACCTTCTCCCTGAACATGCAAAGCCAGGAGTGTGACTGTTTCTGGTACTGCTGGCTCTGCATTGCTGTTCTTCAGAGCTCTTTGGGTGGCTGTGGATTTGAGAAGCAATGTAAATGTAGCAAATGTCATCAGAGATGCTGCTTAGAAAAGCATATTCTAGAGTTGACAGAATGGTCCACCAAAAGTGTTTGTCTCCATTCTTAGCATAACTAAACATTAAAAGCTTACAAACTGTAAGAATATTAATATATAGTACATGTTAGGGTAAGAACACTATTCTGGATTATGCTGCTGAAAAAGGTAGTGTTATTTACTGAGCAGATAGTAAGAAAAGACCAAGCACTAGAATGCTGCATGTATGTGAAACACCCAGCAGAGGTTTAATATATGAAAGTTGTTATTAGCAGGTGTCACAGTGGGTACCCAGTGATTCAAGTTCCATGTAGATGGCAAATGTTTTCCTTGTAAATTTATATAGCAACAGTTTTTTCATGGAATGTTTTAACTGTGTGTTCCATTAATTAAATTGTATGCTACCCTATTTACAATTTTCTCCTGCCTGAATGTCACCAATACTGTGGTATGGCTATATGAATGGGTTCTTTGTTCTGACTTTTCACTAGCTACTTTGCTGGAATATAGGACATTTAGCCTATTAATACAATTTGGGGGTACAAGCACCAAAATCCCAAGCACTCAGGGATTTGGCCAGTGATGTCTTGGGGTGGAATCTTTGGCTCTGAATTAGAGACATTCCCTGCCCAATAAGTTAAGATAGTTAAATAAATACTTAAGATTAGGTTTTGTAGCAGCCAAACTGCTAAAAGGGAGCATTTCTTACAATGTCTGATAGGAAGTTTAAAAGAGAGGGTTGAACTGTAAGTTCGTTTGTTCTCTGAAGTTTAAGCATGCAACTTCTGACAACAGCAAGGTATCGATTTTGGTTTCATAGGCTGAAACTTCTCTTTGAGGTTGCACCTAGAGTGCACTTTCAAAATAAAGGTATAGGCTAATAATATATTTCCTTTGAAATATGGAGAAGGGGGGAAAAAGAGAAAACTGCAAGCTTTTATTCAACGCATTTTGAGGACTTGTTTACGATAAGACTGTTTATTTTCTTCTGATTGAGGACTATCACATGATTATTTCACATTTATGCGTGAAGTGCTCTAATCTTCAAATATTTTAGCAGGATGTTTGATGGAACTCTACAGGAAGGTAAGGTTTGTAGGTTTGCATTCTCATCAGGTTTTCCACATTCTGACTGATGAAAGGATGGGTGATGCTTACCCTTTTCCAGACTCCTCCCCTTTTAATTTTTTTTTTTTAAGTAACAGGTATGGTTGTTGTTTTTTGTGGAGTGTGATCCTACAGATATGTGCTAGGCACGTTCTGGGTTTGCCTACAAGCAGGAATTTTGATGGAATGCCTGCACATAGATAGGTAGTTGTCAAGCTGCTCAAAACTTGAAGTATTTGAAGAATTTAAAAATATGGGGGCTTTTGAAATTTGATGTTTTGAGGATCACACCTTTAAATTCAGCTACCAAAATTTTGTTCTACTTCCCCCTTCAGAAGATCTGTTACTGACGTTCCCAGAAGTCTTTATTGGGATGGGGCCTGGAATTCATATCTTCCAGTATCTAGATACGTTACTCTAATGTCTTTGGCCTGAGGTAATTTGTTTCAGTTTTGCATGGAAAAGAAAGTTAATTTGTATTTGCAAATTAGCTTCATGTATTATAAAACAGATATGTTTATCTTGCTTTGCTTTTTCAGTACATGTTCTCATACATAAAATGTTGACTTCGGGGCTTTTTTGTTCTTTCCTTTCTTCTCCTTTTTCTTCTAAGGCTTGGTAGTCAACTGGTCAGGTCAAGGATTGCAAAAACTGGGTCCAACCTTACCCTGTGATGCTGATACTCACACTCTGATTCTGGACAAAAACCAGATAATTAAATTGGAACACTTGGAGAAATGCAGGAATCTGATGCAGGTCAGTGTTACTTGACTTGATTTTGTTATGAAATAATGGTACTGTGATGCTAATTAAAGTGCTTCTGGTTTAAGGCCATTTTATGTGATTGAAGTACATTAGCAGTTACTGTCTTCATAGAAAAATAAATGATGGCTAACAAAAATAGGAAGCTTTGTTTTCAGTGTAGCTCTACAGTTGATAGTGGGAGAGGCTGTTTTGCTAGTTACCTAGGTAACTAAAAATGAATAAATAAATTGTAATGGGGGTTGTCATAAAAACACTTAGAAAAATCACTGATAAACCAAATTTTGGCAGTTCTTAGCTTTTGAATACTTGAGCTTTGTAACCTTAAATAACGGTTTTATCTTTCCTCTCTGTAATTGTAAACATGCAGACATGCATACCTTTCATGTTTCATGGTATCATCATAGAATGGTTTGGGTTAGGAGGGACCTTAAATATCATCTAGTTCCAACCCCCCTCTGCCACGGGCAGGGTCACCTTCCACCAGACCACGTTGCTCAAAGCCCTGTCCAACCTGGCCTTGAACCCTTCCAGGGAGGGGGCAGCCACAGCTGCTCTGGGCAACCTGTGCCCGTGCCTCACCACCCTCACAGGGAAGAATTTATTTCTTACATCTAATGTAAATCTACCCTCTTTTAGTTTAAGTCTGTTACCTCTCACCCTATCACAACACTCCCTGGAAAATAGTCCCTCCCCAGCTTTCCTGTAGCCCCCTTTAAGTACTGGAAAGCTGCTATGAGGTCTCCCTGGAGCCTTCTCTTCTCCAGGCTGAACAACTCCAACTTTCTCAGGACTCTTCTCTCCATTTGGATTTCAGAACTCTTCACAGAGGAAGATGATTAGTAGCTTTAAATTTACAAGAAGAGAAGCTGCGTGGATTGGGTTAAAATAGAAATAGCAAATGAAAGAATGTGAAGTGGAAGGGATCTATGTAGTCATGTTAGCATACTGATTCATGTAGGCCCTGATGTTGCTGGTGCTTATCCTTAATTTTAATACTAGCATCAGTCCCTTTAAGTTCATTGTCGGGGGCAGCCTGGTCTCTCCTTCTAGCAGCAAGGACGTGCTCAACTTGGCGTCTCGTAATTTGCATACTCTGTAAGCAAACTGTTACACCCCTGGGGCTAAGGACGATTTCTTCCAGGAGGGCTGGTTTCTTAACTAGAGATAAGCACGTGCTATAGAAACAGGAGTAGAAGTCGTTAAGGAGAAGAATGCTGTGAGCTAGCAGAAAATTAACTGCAGAAAAAGTCAAGCTGACCTTAGACATTAGCCAATCATGAGCTCAACTTTTGTAATATGTATTAGGTGATTAACCATTGTGCCAATCAGCTTAAAACACGTGTCTCTCTTTGTCTGTTTGGAATATAAAATTGGTTGTTGTGTTCAATAAAGTAGATCCTGACTTGCATCGAGCTGGGTCCCCGTCTCTCAATCGCGGCAGTTCATGAGGATATTAGTGATAACAGTGTTAAGTGCGTGCATGGTGCTTGCAAAAATCAGAGTATTAATCCCTCCGTGATAAAGCTGTACAAGTCCACCTTTATTGTCACTGGAAGTGCCTCCAGGTAGACTTGAAGTCACCTAATAGCTTCTAGTGAGAGGTGGGGTTTGTTGCTACAACTAAACCTTCACCAGTCTGCCAGCTTATTGGTCATGTTATTAATGTGTATGCCTAATCAGGATTTATCCTTTAAAAAGTTTGAGCTATTACAGTTAGCACAGGACCTTTCTGAGAATCACGTGAAATATATTTTGTCCTTTGCCCTATTGACAGTAGGTATGATTTTACACCAAGAATAGTGCGGCAATTTGCACAATGATTTGGCAATTCTGATTTTAAAATCCTATTTTCATATGACATGATTCCTCATTCATTCTCTTTTTATTTAGCTGTTGCTTAGAGGATTTCCTCTTAAGTTTGCCAAGTGAGTTGTGAAGACCACTTTCTTTGATCAGTAGTTTATTTCCTGGCTCTTGCAGTTTTCCCTGTGTGTTATTTGCTTGAAAATGGAATACGTAGATGGAAGTAGTTCCTGTTGGATTAGATTTTTAACCACTAAAAATAAAATCCTATTCTCTCTGTGCAGTTTAATACTTAAAACTATTTCTTTTATCTGTCTGTCAATCTGCAGCTCTCTGTAGCCAACAATCGTTTGGTGCGAATGATGGGTGTAGCAAAACTGACTAAGCTCCGGGTGCTAAACTTGCCTCATAATAGTATTGGATATGTGGAAGGGCTGAAGGATTTGGTGCACTTAGAATGGCTGAACTTGGCAGGAAATAACCTTAAGGTAAAGTATTTAGCCTTAATACATTTTTCCAGAATCCTAGTGTTTGTAGAAATTTGTGAAATGCTGCAAAGAAATCTGAATCTATTTCTGGTTTTGATTGGAACACATGTTGAAGATTTGGCTACTGGTTTATGAAACAGAAGAGGGCAGCTTTTGAACAAGAATTGTGTAGGAAAAAAATTAAAGATTTTATATCAAAATGTAATGAGAATTGGTAAATAGTTCCCAAAATAGCAAAAGAATCATCATCTTTGAAATGAAACTATGTAAAAACATGGGTTTTGTTTTGGGTTACTTATTTGGTTTTCTTAGCTTTCAAAATAATTTATAGCGGTACCTGGTTTTACTTAATGATTAGAAAAGATTTACTGTGAGTAATTGACTACTTTTATTTTTGTAGGCCATTGAACAAATCAATTCCTGTCTGTCTCTTCAGCATCTTGATTTGTCAGACAATAACATAGCTCAATTAGGCGATCTCTCCAAGCTTACATCACTGAAAGTAGGTGCTATTTTACCTCTGGTTTTGTTACATTCTTTGCATAAAGAAATTTGGTTTGAAAATTACTGCCTTTTAAGCATTCATTATTCAAACACTAGTTCTTAACGCGTTTTAATTAATCACTAATTTCTAGAGGGAAGCATGTAAGAATTCTTTTTGTTGTTTTCAAGTTGCAGGAACTGAGGCAGTGGTTTTTCTATAACTACTCTAATGATTTTGATAAAGATAACATGGTGAGATCTTGTTCATAGCTCTTCATTCTCTTGTCTCATGTCATGAATTGTGACAAAACATAGTTTTAACTCTTTCAGCATGAGCGCACTGTAGAGAAAAAGTGTTTCCAAATACATTTTGGTTTTTTTTTTGTAATTGTGACTGTGTTTCAGTTCTGCACTTTATCATGAGAAGGTTTCTCTCTAAAGTATAAAAATTAGTCTTCCCTTGCTGGAATGAAAAATTTTGATGATACCAGAAAGTCTTAATTATAGTTCTTTTGTGTGTATTATGCAGGTATTGCTTGAACAAGAAATATGGGGGTTTGATGAAACATACGTTTCATCACCATGTTTTTATTTTATAGACTCTCTTGCTGCATGGAAATATTATAACTTCACTTCGCACTGCCCCTGTTTGCCTACCTCAGAATCTGACTGTTTTTTCTTTGGCAGAAAATGAAATCAGAGACTTAAATGAGGTAAGATGTAGAAGATATGTCACCCTGTCTTTAGGGAGACTGAAAGAAGATAGGTGGATAATTCTTTTGAGGATGTAACTGAAAATGGGCTCTCTTCTTTGAAGCAACCCATGTTGACAGAAGTAATTTTTAATAGTTTATATGTAATAACTATACTTGCATTAGCTGCACAAACTTAGATGATGCCTTTTGAAATTTATCCTTCAAAGAAGCATTGCCTTTTTTATTTTATGTCTTTATATTATTCAAGGTTGTCAGAAGAATACTTTAGGGAGTAAATTCATACAGAGCTTTTCATAATTGTTTCAAAGTTAAAAGCTGAGCTGATTAACTACTGCAGAGGGCTTCTGCAGCTGCTCTGTTTAGAACAGAGTTTTGAATTGCACTTGTTGCAACTGAATGGATTTGGGTCGATGTCTTATTTAATCTCTTTCTCAAACACTATATGAGAGAAACAAATATTCTGCCTGTGATTTTTGTCTTTATTCTTTTGGGGGTTTTTTTGTATGTTTGTTTGTTTTGTGTTTTTCCTTTTTATCAAAATCTCAAAGCCTATTGTAGTGAACTAGAATCATAGAAATACTATACCTTTCTATACATGAAGGTCTATTCCCAGATTTTAAGAGAAACTAATACTTTCCAAGGGCTGTAGTATTTACAGGAGAATTAACAGGAAAATGGCAGTAGTTGATAGAAGGTCCTTTGAAGATGTTCATGTTCAAAAATCAAATGTGATTTTCAATAGATTTGCAATTATGTTGTTTTGTGTGAGATGCCTAGCTGTAACTAGGACAAATGTGGTATGTTCTGTAAGCATTTAATGTGCTCTTTTCAGTTAACAAATATATCTTATTTTCTTAAGGTTTCTTTCCTGACCTCTCTTCATCAATTGGAACAGTTGTCAATTATGAACAATCCTTGTGTGATGGCCACACCTTCTATCCCTGGCTTTGACTACAGACCATATATTGTCAGCTGGTGTCTGAACCTTAAAGTTCTTGATGGATATGTGATTTCTCAGAAGGAAAGGTGACATAATAGTGTTAAGTCTCTAAAATCATTAAATAAAGTCTGGCTGAGCTGAAATTGCGTTTTCATGTAATAAAAAATTGGGAAGGCGCTAATGATCTGAAATTCTGCTTGCTGATGGCCATATGAGATACAAGCCAATTAACATTGTTGCTTTTGCTAAATTTTTAATCTGTTACACTGGAATTATTATGTAAGCTCACAAGTTTATTTAAGTAGAAGTATGAAGTTAAGATGTTGTGTGGCTGCTCAACTCACAGTAGCACTTCTACAAAGCAAAACCATGGTAGCAATTTATCAATGGTCTGTTACCCCTTCTAAGCTTACAGCCTATTGGACTTTGCAGAATGAGACAATCAGCAGATACTAAAACTGCTAGTTTAGGGGAAGCTCGAATGTGCCCTTTTGTAAAGGGCCTGATTTGCATGGGCATTTCTAGATTTGTCATTTTTTTGTATCAATTAGTGAAATATTTTGCTCAAATCACTTGTCACTGTATCACTGTGGCCAATCACTATATCTGTACGAGAGTAGAGGTGTCTTCTTCAAGTTCATGACATCAGAACAGTCCAAGCATAAATATTATCCAGTATAAACACATTCTAGTCCAATACTTTAGCATATTGCAGGTTATTAATGTATTTTTTCCCTGTTATGAAAATTAAAAGCTGCCTTTTTGGTCAAAGGTAAACCAATTTTGTTCCTGCTTGACCATAACATATTATGACTTTCCCGAATAGTTGCCTGTAAGAATTCTAGACATTTTTTTCATGACTAAGGGGGTTTTCTATATTAACTGTATTATTTTAATTATTTGTAGGTATATTATATTAAATGTTCTCAGACTGAAGAGCATTTAATTTAAAAACAGATTTCAGTTGCTGAATAGTTTCAGCAAGATTTACTCTCTGTGCCTATTCTGCGCATTTCTGTGAGCTTTTCTTTTTCTGTGAATGCTTTGGTGATTGTTGATTCAAATGTGTTTTCATTGCTCAAAGACTACACACAGACAAAGCAGAGATTGCACAGTTTTGCTCAGGGTTTTTTCTTTCACTGATGCTTACGTGAGGGAATACTTTATTCATTATTCTAGTGATGAAATTCACAGCTCCTCTGGGCAATGCACGTGTTGGAAGTTTTGATTAGATTTGTAGGTTAGCTCTTAGGTACCCAACAGAAGAACAGTAATCAAAGGACAGTTAGGGGGTTTATGCCATGCGTTAATGGTGACCTTTTTTTCTCCTTCCTAACAGTTTGAAAGCAGAATGGCTCTACAGTCAAGGTAAAGGAAGATCGTATCGACCTGGACAGCATGTTCAGCTAGTCCAGTACTTGGCTACTGTTTGTCCTCTTATATCTACATATGGTCTTCAGACTGAAGAGGATGCCAAACTGGAAAAAATACTGAGTAAGCAAAGGTGAGAACTTGTTTCTCTGTTGTTAAGAGAACATAATTCAGAACATAATTGTATGTGTTAGATATAATAAGATTTCCTTTTAAGTGTTCCAAAGCAACGGTGAGGGCTGGAGATGGGAAGAGTAATGGAGGTACAGGATGTGTCCCAGAGGGCAATGAGAGTGTTTTCCTGCTTGCTGTGCCATGTAAGTCTGTGATCAAAAAAAATCTCAGTAGGTAGTTTGTTTGTTTTGCCATGGAGGAAGTGAGGAAAACCTTAGAAAGGAGCTTAGAATAACTTTTGTTCTAATTGTACATGAAGACATTTGTGGTACACTGGTGTATTAGCCACTTTTTTGTTGTTAGTGTGTTCTTTCTTGGTTTTAAAGTTAAGGTTATCCTTTGAGGGACACTGTTCCCAGTGTTGTAGCTTACAATCTCTGTATCTGGCACCTTGGATCTGTCAGCAGAGGCCTCTGTAGAGCCTGCTGGTTCTGCCAGCAGTAGCTGTGTTGTTAAGGTCTATGCAAGTAGGTGAGGAGAGTTACCATGGTGCACTCTCCTCCCATGAAAAGGTGAACTAATACCGAATAAAAGCCAGAAAACAAAATGCTACAGATGTCCCTATTCCCCAGGACCTACTGACAGACTTTTTTTGTAGAGGGTCAAGAGCAGGAAAATCAGTTCAAAGGAGCAGGTTACATAGTCTCATAGTGTGGGTAGAAAGTTGGTAAACAAAAGTGTTGTGGTAAGCAGAAGGGTGGCATCTCATCAAAAGGGCTGGAAGCCTGAGAGTAACTGGAAGGAGCTACTGTATACTTAGTGTAGACTGACCTCCAGGAGGAAGTTACAGAAATGTTGGGGCCATTTCAGAGAAGAAGGTACAACTAAAACATATTGGCATTGGAATTTTTAGCTAAGTGCTCTGACATTCACACAGTGTTTCTGGGGAAGAAACGTCAAGTTGGCTTGCAAAATATAACTCTTCAAAAATTAAAGTCTTCACCAAAAGAACAACACCCCCCCGCCCCCCCCCCCCAAAAAAAAAAAAGTATGTATATATGCACACACATATGTGTTTTATAAGGCAGTTGGACTTTCTGATGTTTACCTCATGATCTTTGAATTTACCTGGGCTGAAACAACCTGTGTGTTTTATCAGTTTATAAAGGATGATTTTATATTTGTGGCAATGTTTGTTGATTTGTATTAGGATTTTGTCCCTTTGGTAACAGAGACCCCCTTTCCTTGATTGATTCTTTTTCAAATGTTAAAGACACTCCCTCCATTCCTCAAACTCCTCTATGCATACAAGCATGATGTATCCTGCAGTAGATCTGTACAATATCCCCATACTTTCCTTGTGTCTAGAAATACTTAATAGTTTTCAGTTTATAGTCAGAATTGCATGTTGGAATTTTTTTTTTTTTTGTAACAAAGAAAAAGGGGCAGGAGGAAGGGGAATAGGAGCAGTCTGTGCAATCCCCTACTTTGTGAGTAGTCCTGTTAATGTCTTATAGGTATAGGGTTCTGCATAACTAGTCTCTTGTTTAGAATGGTTTGATCACTTGTTTCCTTTGAAGTAGTTGATAGTTTCTTTTAGATGTCTTCTGTACTGATGAAGTTTAAAAGAAATATAAAATCTGTTGGAACCGTGTGCTTAGGCTCCACCAGAGGCAGTTGATGCATCAAAACCAAAACGAAGGACCACCTACATCTTCTACTCCCAACAAAACCCCGGCAGTTACTTATGAACAGAGCAGTCCAGTCCAGCCACCACAGATAGTTCTTGAAAGTGGTAAGAAGCTGATCTGCGCCTGTGATCTAACCTGTGGAAATACGGAAATACTTTTTTTTTTTTTTTTGAACATAGATAACTTTGTGGGGAGGATTTCAGAACAAGGCCCTGTTATTATTTTATTCTATTAATTTTTGGAGATTTTCAACTGAAGTTATACTTTGTTTTCTAAAAATACATTGCATGCTTATTCATGTCTTGAAATGCTAGTAAGATTGCTAGTTGAAAGGCACAATCTCATAAAATAAAGAGTAATTACTTTGACTGTTCCATATGATAATAGTGTTACTTCTTCAGGGGGAGGCAGTTTGTGCAATTAACTGTACCCAGTATTTGCAAAGTTTGTGGATGTTACTGTGATAAGTAGTTACTGTGTTATTGCTATATAGAGATAATGGTTATCATTACTAGCATTTTAGATTTTCTTATACACTCGGGTTCTATCTAAACCAAATTGTGAATCCCTATGAATTAAATGAAGCTATGTTATTGAAATAGTAAGACACTTTTGAATATGGCTTTATTCTTACCTAGAACCTATGATCCAGAAGAATTCCTGGGTTGGACCAAGTACAAATGATGATCATTCCTATGCAGTAAAGAACACTTTTCTTCTTGAAAGAAGTTTTCGGAAGGATCTATACCTTGAAGATATACAGACAGATGAAGACAAACTAAACAGCAGCCTTTTATCCTCAGAGTCTACTTTCATGCCAGTTGCTTCAGGATTGTCTCCAGTGTCTCCTACTTCAGACCTGAAGATACATGGAATCAATTTGGGCCTAGAAGATGATGATAATGATGATGATACAGTGATCGAATGTGTGAGAGATGTTAATAGTGGAGAAAGAGATAACAAGCAAGAAGCTTCAAGTGTTAACAGAGAGCACTTGAGCAGAGCAGTGGGAAGTTTGGAAACTCAAGGGAATATCAAAGAGAGCGTGCTGTTGCCTTCTGATCCAGTAACAGCTTGCCTGACTGCTAATACTAGCAACTCATCAGCATCCTCTGAAGACCAGGTTCTGCATAGTCACCCCAGCACCTCAGTAGGTGCTGAATTGGGAATTGCAGCTCTCTGTCCTGACCAGATGACAGGAGAAGGTTATGATTCATTAGCTGTTGTCGATCAAGGTGCAACTGAACTGCAAAGAATGACTAAAGCAGCTACCAAGCTTCAAGCCTGCTGGAGAGGATTTTACACAAGGAACCACCATCCCCGCGCCAAGGAAGTGCGATATGAAATTCGACTGAACAGAATGCAGGAGCACATCATTTGCTTAACTGATGAAATACAAAAGTAAGTTGATGTCATACTGTATTTTCAAATCTAAGTATAACTACTGTTACAGGATATTTCAGAACAGGTATAAATGGGTCTTGATGTAACTGCTCACAGTAGAACCTAGCATCAGTAATATAAAACTGTGATTACAGGAGAAGATCACTTCCTGGAAGATAAACAGCTATGTGCATAACTGTGCTTATACTCTCGAAATACCTTCGATGACTGTCTTGGGTTAGAATACATTTTTCTATTCTTCCATTAGCAGGACTTGCATGTTTCACTGCCTAACCAAAATAGAAACAAACTAGAAATTAAGTGTGATATTTTTTTTTCCTTTTTTTTTAACTCATCTCCTAGCAATTAGAGTCTATAAATGAAGTGTCCATATTGAAAGTCATTCCTCTGTTACCAGTGAAAAGAACTCTCTGCCTTCCATGATACAATTTCAAAATGTGATTCTGTGGTTAGTTCTGTTTTTTGTTTGGTTGGTTTTTGCTTTTTTATCGTATGAATCCATGTTTGGAAGAGGTTATTACCACAGTTTCTCAGTTTGGGAGATATAAATTGCAGATTTAGTTAATATCTTTCTGGATCAGCCTGGGAACTGGTCCTCTGACAGGCTCTTTTTCTTTACTGTCACAAGTGACAGAAGTTCTCTGCATCAAGTTGAGCCCTCAGTGAGCCTCTAGAAACTCCCAATGCTTATACATCATACCTACATCCAAACGATGTCAGTTGGGGAGAGCATAATTTGAAATAAAGAAACACTATTTTGAGGGGTATTTTTGTGTAGGAAAAAGAAGCATGTCTACCTGAAATGAAGAGCTCGGGTTCAGTTTATAAAAAGACACTTAAAGTATTGGGAAGTCAATAAATGTGCTGCAGCGAAAGGAAGCAGAATTTTAATGTGACTCTGAAAAAGAAACTTGAGATCTGCAGCTGGATATTGATGGCAAGCCAGACTGCAGTAATGTCTTAATGTTAGGGTCTGTTGTATCTTTCAAGAGTGCTGCTATAGAAATAGGCATTTTTATGCATCCTTGTTGATCTTGTTACCCAAATGTTGTTTATTTAAGCTGCATAAATTTGGATGTGTCTTTTTGCAGACTAAGAAAAGAAAGAGAAGAAGATAAGATTCAGAGGCTTGTACAGGAGGAAGCTGTTAGATTTCTTTGGGATCAGGTAAATAGTTTTAGTCCTCTAATTTTTCTGCTTACATGTGAATTTCGAAGGCATTATTTCATACTGTAGATCCTGAAGAAATAGTCAATATGGTTCGTTTTTTCCAGTCATGACTTGGGTGGCTTATTAGAATCTAGCTGCCATGTTGTTTGCTATACTGGTATTCTGAGGGGAAATAACATTCAGAAGTATTAGTGCAAGAACACTGGTTTTGTAACAAAAGGCTGAATTATAGCCTGGTATGAGGAGAAGGTCAAAATGCAAGGGCAGCTAAATTAATGTAGCAGAAGTGTGAAGAATGATGTGACTGCTAGATGTCCAGGACAAACTACATTGCTTGTCAGCAGCTCACTTCTAAAGTAGAAGAGTTATTAATACTAATAAGTTATTCTTCCAGAAATAAGTCTGACTGTTTTTTTTTAAGCATGGGTTATTTCATAAAGGTTCGCATTCTTATTTTAAGAGCAGATTCCTTTTTCTTCAAGGTCTTGAACAGGGAGGCTTGTGGGCTCTGTCAATGTTGGGCATCTAGGTTTAAAAGCCATTATTTAACAGTGAAAAGAACATATTTTTCCTAAAGATACAGTGAACCTTTTGTTAGTTCACTTGATCTTAAATTTTATACTAGAGCTTTGTTGCTGATTACAAGAAATACTCTAGAAATCAAAGTACTTTTAGTTGCATTTCATAATGAAATTCTTTCTGTACTTTTACAGGTTAAATCCCTTCAACAGTGGCAACTGTCAGTGACTCGAAATTTAGGTGCCACTTGGCAACCTGGGATCCCTTCAGTCAGTGCTGTCTGTCCATCTGAACCATGTATTCAATCATCCACACTTGAGCAAGAAACCCCACCAGATGTTAGTTCTGCTTTGTTAGTTCCAGCTAGTGATGTTCTTCAGGAAAAGTCTTTGTTGCAGTTCCCAGATTCTGGTTTTCATTCTTCCATGGCTGATCAGACTCATGCCAGTGACTTGTATAGCTCTGAAAAGAGCTTGGTGGAAGGAACCGAGAGCTCTCTTTCAGTGGAAACTGTCAAACAATGTGGCAATTCTGTTTCAGTGTATTACTCAGATGGGGAGGATGGCCAGGGGGAATGTGGGCAGAGTAAAGAGAGCTTTAGTAATGAGCAGGACAACAGACTAATACAACAGTATTTGAAATCTGTTCAGCAGCTGGAAGAGGCTGATGAAGGGACACATTGCAGCGATGAAACAGAGGGTAGCTGGCCACAAATTGCTGTTTCAGCAGAAAGCCAAGAGTCTTCATCTGACGCTGTCTCTGTAGATCTCTCTCAAGACACATCTTCCCCTGCTCGAAGTGAAATCAGTCAGACACCAGAAAGCTGCAAGCTGAATTCAGGAATAGTAGAAGGAAAGCAAACAGACTGTGATTCTTCATTTCAGATGCTGCATGTTGGGATAACTGTATAGTAGGCTCAGTTCCACAAAGGACTAGGGATTCCATTTCCCTTTTCTCTTTTTGCCATTTATACAAGACTTATTTTTCATGCGTGCTGTTTCAGATTTTGACTCATGTTACCAATTTGTGTTTTCATTGGTATTTTATTGATGTTGCTGAGGACTGACACTAACTATGCTAACCTGAAATTGGCAAAGTTCTCAGTGATAATCATTATGCACTTTAGTTTCAAACATAAACCTGATACCCTAATAACTGGCTTCCATTAAATTAATTCTTAAGATTGGGGGTGCTGATGGTATTTCCTGTAAATTCACTTCAATGAATGTGTTAGGAAATCTTGGAATTTTTTTCTAAAAAGCAGCACTGAGTTCCTACTTTGCAAAGAGAAGGAAACAATATGGGAAGAAACAGGATCAGTATAGGCTCTGTGTGTGTGTATATGGATGCAGCCTCCTGAGAAAGATGAAAGCAGTTGCCTTTCAGACTTCTTTTGACTTCAACAGGAAAAGTTTGGTCATGTTTCAGAGATGCATTCCATGAAACCAGTATCCAGTCAGTGACTTCTTTTTGTTTACTTGAAGCTACTGGCTAGGAGTTAAGTCATTTACATATGCACTGAAACAAGGACTTAGAGGGCAAGACCTTAGGGAGCTTCAAGTAATCTTGGACTTTTGTTTGCCCTGGGGTTGAATTTCCCTCCTTTCTCAGGTAAGACTCAAAGTGGAACCAGTAGCAGCCTTTACTAAATAAGAATTTCAAAAGGGCATGTGATTTGGGAACATCATTTCCAAGACTACACTGCTGGGTTACAGCAGCAGACTTGGTGACCTGTGTTTTGCCTCCATAAGGATGCTGATGTCATTGTGGGATTTGGATCTGCATGGTTTTCAAGACATTAGTGCATTTGATGGATCATGACTACTTCTATCTACAGGTAGAAATACTAAAAGCAAATGCCATGACTTAAAACTATTTATTGACATCTCTATTGGGTTTTTTAGTGTTTTTTGTTTTTTGTTTGTTTGGGTTTTTTTCCTGTATGTCCAGTATTTGACATTCTAATTAGATGTGGGTAAAAAGCTGTATTTCTTCCCTGTTGGCAAATGGGCTAAGATACCTAGGATATGCTTTCTACTTATAAACCATATTGTTTGCCCAGTGTTTATCTTGCCTAGTCATTGCTATGTTGTTTTTTTTAATGGTAAGAGATCAGGTATCTTAGTATACTGAACAAGTGGCAAGGGAAATCTGTTTTGCTGTGCAATTTGTGATGGACACTAGTAAAATAAAATTGACGTTGTGACTTCTAGGGGTCAGTTTGCTAATACTGCATTTTGCAATGTGTACTGGAAGGCCGGTGTTTCAGTAGTTTGCTAATATTGACTTCTCAGATATGAAGACATGCATATTATAATTTTTTGAATCCACAGGTTAACTTCTGCTGCTATGGTGTCATTAAAATCAACTAGTGCTGTTTTAAAGTGACTCTTATGGCCATGTTACCATGTAAAATAATTTAATTCTTGTAGAAGCTTTGGTTGCTTGTCTACTTTAGGTTCTGAGCTGAAAATTACAGCTACTCAGGAGTTTGGCTTGAGGCCAGTATCTGCTTGAGGACTCAAAATAGCCTTTATTTAGAACATAAATGGTATATTGGACTTGTAGCAGCCATATGCCCGGTGGTGAAGTTCACCTTGGAAGAATAAAGCTTACCTCTGTGTATAGAATAGGTATCATCTCTTTTTCCCCACTCCTCTAAAAAAAGTTGCAGGGCACTAACTTCTCAAAAAAGAGCTGTCATAGCAATCAAGCTGACACTTGACTGAGCCTTACATACACGAGAACATTTAAAACAAAACAAACACAAAAACAACAACAAAAAAACCCCCAGCAACTGAGGTGGTAGATTTTTAATGTGCTGTCTTTTTAACTCAGTCCTATTACAGCACATTTGTAGCGTAACCATATTCATTATTCTTAGAGCATGAGTGTGCCTGGGTATTGAAAGTAGTACGGATGCATTAATGTACCAAAACATCTAATTAACTGTGCAAAGAAGTGTTTAGTCTTACATGATCATATCCTTGTCCTCTGAAGTTTCTCAACTTGGATTTAAATCTGCCATGCTTGGAGATCTCTGCAGTTCATAGGATTTGGCTCTTTGACTGTTAATCTGTTATTAAAAACAAATAAACAAAAAATCTCATGTAACCCTCTAAAGAGGCTTTCTTTGGGTTTTGAGAGGGAAATTAGTTCTATCTGTGAAACAGTTGTTGGACCTTACACTCTGGAGGCAGTGGTTAGGTGTAATAAAACAGTGAGTTCTCTTTTGTGGCAGAGTGTTTATTAGCATATGCAAGACCTGGGAGAAACTAGACCACTGTCTGGATAAAATTGTTTCACTTACTAAAGACACTGAGGGACAATATATATTTTGCTATTTTGTATTATTGTCACATTTGCTGCAGAATTACAGGAGAAACAACTTTAATTTGGGAGGTATCAAAGGGGGAAAACTTGATGAGTGTTATTTTTTCACGGAAGCCCTAGATGTTTATTGACGTTTCCTTTGTTATTAGGGCTTGCAAACACAAACACAAGATGACTTATTTTAACCAATGATTAGGTCAACTGTTGGCTTTTTTTTTAACTTGTAACCTGTATATCCAAAGGTTATTTTATGAAGGTATAGCAAAGTGTGTACTGACATATAAGTTTTATCTTATTCTTTTGAAGAAGCTGTGAAATCTGATTTTTTTTTTTCTGATGTTCTGAGAAGTTTCTTGCATGTGTAGAAGATGAGTTGCCTAAATATACAGAAATCACAAGAAATTGTGAAGTTTTGGATTAGTTTTTACAGGATTAAATGTAATTAGTTTGTATATACACAAAATATTTAATTCTGACCATTAAAATACATACAGGGAAAGACATAATGGGGGACAGAGTGGAAAAATAAGGAATTAAACTGGATGCATACTTAGAAATGGCTTCTTTCAGTCCATTTTGAGCTCTCAAGGAATCAGGATATGGAAATATAGTTTAATCTATAGTTTAACGTTTATTCTTCTTTGTATAAGTTTTCTTAGTCTAGGTATGTAATATTCTTTTACCTGGATAGAGATGCACAGCTCCCTTAAGAGATGATGGAAATTTCATATATGAAAATCCATGTCTGAAATATTCCTGTATTAATGTTGTATGTATTTCAGCATCTTCCTTTTGCAAGGCTTCATATTCAACAGAATAATGTACTTTATAGGAGGAAAGCTTGTCTGTACTTTGTCCTGGGCTGATCCTCCAGAGTTGATGGAAGAGATTTCCTCGTGGTTACTTGTCAGGCAGCGTTGTCAGCTCAGCCGTGAATACAGTTTAAGTGCTTCTTTAACTTGCTTCAGATAGATCGGCTAAATATAGCTCAGACGAACAGTTTAAACTGTGCCACACAAGTAGTTTCACCCCAGATGAGGTGGTTGGCACATGCAAACCGTTTTCAGCTAGTCTGGCAGAAATTACTCTTTTGCCTGCTTTTCTGAAGGTAGGGACAAGGGGGAAGGTGGAAATGCATTTCTGCGTGTTTTCAGGTTTAGTCTGTGATGGCAACACCAGCTCTTTTATGATTGCAGGCCTGTTCACATTTTATAGTTCAAGGGGTTTGGGTTTTAGGTTTGTTTTTTTCAGGTGTTTGGATTATATTGATTCCTCTCTGTTAGATAACTTCTTTACAAAAGGGAAATGCAAGGTAATGCTTCATTAATGACACTAAGTAAATTTATGTTTCTACCTTCTTCCATGAACTGACCTTAATGGTCGCAACTGGTTTTAGTACCTAAAACCATAATTTAAATGCATGGGAGATTTAGCTGCTGAATGAATGCAGCAAATGTAATATTTGGGTTTTTTTTGTGATGACTATTACTGTGTGGTGCTATTTTGTAAACAACGTACCTGTGGCAAGGATGGAATTTTTACAAGGTACTGAACATTGGCCTAACTCTGCTTTCACATCCTTAAAAGCAGCAGGGTCGTGCTTAAGTTGAGTCCTTGTGAACTGGCTGTCTAAACTGGGATTTTACCTCCAGAAGTGTTCTTGTACTACAAAGCAAGAAGGCATTAAGACTGCAAATCTTACTTTGTTGCTTCTAAAACACCGATATCTTTCAGCAAATACTTGAGAAAGTCCTTGTTAAACTAAATCGCAGAAGCCTAATTGTTTATAGTTAAGTTCCTTAAACAACCATAGATTATACTATTTGCATGCAGCAATTTAAATAATGCACTTAAGCAGCCAGTCTATCTGTATATAAGAAACTACTTTGGCTTTTTTCTGAATAATGTTTGTATGTTATTGAGGTTGCAAATTGTTCCTGGTTTTTATGAATTTGTATATATTGTCTGAAGAATTCCAATCTTAATTTCTACTTGTAGCAGGTTGTTTGATGAACAAAAATTGAAGATTGATTTCTTTGAGACTACCTAGGTACTTTTTACTGGACTTGAAGTTACAGTGTGTCTCACACAGATACAGTTTTTCTTGAGAGGGTAGAATTGTAGCATTTAGTGGAGGGTGATGAATGACAATAAGTAAAAGCTGGTTACTTCCCCTACTTTTAGCTAGTGGAAAAGAGACTTTTTCTTTTTTTTCCCCTGTTGTATAAACTTTTTTGTTTTTTCCTTTGAGGACTGTGCCACCCAAATAAGTAAGCATCCAAGTATTCATGAAGTCTTTCAAAAAGTCTTTTTTTTTTTTTTTTTTTTTTTTTTTCTTCATAGTTACAGGAGTTTTTTTCCCATTTTAGCTTTCTAGGACAAGTTACTGAGAAACACTTGCTTTCTGTATGCCTGCTGAAAAGTTGGGACCTTCTGTGTATTTTTAAGTGCTTTCTTTATGTCGGTAATGGAAAAAGCACAGGATCCTTTACTTGCAAAAGCATAAAACAGTATTTATCGGGAAGGGTGCTTTATCTCTTGGAAAGTGCCATGTCAAATTTTATTGTCCAAGAGCTCTCGATAAGAAACTTCTTTCTGGCTTCATTACCTTTATAAGTATATGGGCCAAATTCACTTGTAGCATAATTCTACTGAACTAAATTTTGAGTCTCTCACAGTAGTATTCTACCTCTAAACTACAATCTGAAACAAGAACAATTAGGCAGTGATTTGTCTTTATACTTTTCACTATTTTTTGTGAAGAATGGTGGGTGGTTAAATCGGTACAGTTCGTATATTTTCTATAAGTGTTTACATTTCTGGATTTATTGTTTCTTAAATATTTTGTTTGTACTTCTGAGTTTTGAATTTTAAATAAATGATTTGTACGTTTATTGAAAATGTTAATTTGTACGTGATCCTGACTTGTACGGCTAATTGTCATTGTCTTACAATTGGAGGGTTCTTTTGGAGATGGAAAATATAGAAATGCAAACCAATGATGACAAGGTAAGCATTAGCATTCAGCACTTGGTACAGCTGAGGCATCTAGTGGCCCACTGTTTTAGTGTTGAAGACAGTAAGACTGCGGTAGGGTACCTGAATTTGTAGGTCAGTTGATTAGCAGAGGCCACTGAAATGGGTATTCATGATTTACAGTTCTTTGTTTCTATCATTGGCCGTCTCAGTGGTGGTGTTAATTCCCTACTGTGTTTAAACTAAAAGATGTGGCAGTATTCTGTACAGAACTTTCTAGAAAGAGAGTTAAGGCTATGGGATTCTCAAGAGAAATACAATTGCAAAGCATGTTGTTCCCTCTCCTACTATTTTGGTTTAGTCAGATACCTGCTGCGTGCTTTAATAAATTAAGACTAATTAAACATCTTTCAGGCTTTGACAGACAAACAGCCCAGGAGCCTCATACATATGAAAGTAATGTTTTACTGCAGGACTGTCATTCCAAAGGGTGGGAGAAAAAAATAAAAAAAAAAAAAAAAGGAGGAGAAGGGGTCAAAAAAAATACCAAAAAAACTTTTTTTTACTCAGCTGTCATTTCACACATGGAGGTTAGTAAAGCATTAAAAATGCCCCCTATGTTTACACTTCATTACACTGAAGAAATTAGCTGAGGTTTTTAAGTGAGAATCTTCTTGCTCTTCTGTGAAGATATTTGAAAGACAGAAATAAGCAAAGCTAAAGTGGCTTCACTTCAATTCTTAGAGCAGTGCTGTTTTCGCTTGGAGTAGAGTTAAGACCTTAAGTCTGTACTATTAAGTTTAAATGCTGTGTGGTGTAGGGATAGTAACCATAATACTTCAAAAACTCAGGTTGAAGGCCCCTCTCTTGTCCCTGTTTTTGATTCATAATTGTAATAAGATCGTTAAAATCTTTGGCTAAAGTTTGAAAAGAAAGGGATAAATATATGTAGTGGATAGACCCAATTTTGTTCAGATAGAAATAGTTAATTTTCATTTTATGGGCTGAAATCCTTACATATGCTAGCAGCTGAGTTTCTTTTGTGTGTGACAGTGTGGTTTGAAAAATGCCTGTTAATTCTATATAACATCATGTCCCGATGATAGGTGAGGTATTTTGCCCCTTCACTCGGGTGTTACAGTGTGAACACTTCTCTCAACTGTACTGATACAGCTCTGAAAGCACAAACCACTGTGTCCAAGTATAGCTTGCATCAGTACATGGTTGATTTCAGGCCATAGTGCTGCATTTGTGAAGGATCTGTGGTGATATAATGCATCAATTTGGGGTATAGGTAGAAGGAAGCATTACTTTGGCCTGCATGGGACAGCACATAGAGATCTTGATGGACCTCTAACATGTGGGCTTCCTCTGCTTGACTTGTATCGCTGATGGAGCTCATGCTCATGTTCTGTCTATAGCTTGGCACAGGTTTTGCCTGTACATAAGGGTATTTTCAGACATGTGCCTCATGACATCCTATTGTAACTTCCTTCTTCCTTCTTCCTCCAGCTTTATATGCTGAGCACACCACCATACGGTGTGGGACATCCCTTTGGCCAGCTGGGGTCAGCTGTCCCAGCCATGTCCCCTCCCAACAAAATGTGCACCCCCAGCCCACTTGCTGGTGGGGTGGTGTGAGAAGCAGAAAAGGCCTTGGCTGTGTGAGCGCTGCTCGGCACTAACAACAACATCTCTGTATTATCAACACTGTTTCCAGCACGGATCCAAACCCTAGCCCCCTGGTAGCTACTATGAAAACAATTACCTCTATCCCAGCCAAAACCAATACAGCTGCTCTTTCTGATATGTGCAAGGCAACACTGACCACGGGAAGAAATAGCAGAAAATTGTGTACAGGATGCCCAAATGAAACCAGTCACTGCTTTTGACTTCCAGGACACTTTATTCTGAGAAAACTGGA